GTAGATAATCAAATTCGACACGTTGATTTCAATAAACTGTTTCAATAAAGAATTGAAAAATGTACTTGTAAAATTAAAAAAAGTTTAAACTCTTAAGGGGGTATTCTAGTGTAACCAGTCAAAAGAATCAATTCTTTTCTTGCATTTTCTTGTAATCTTTAGGGTCTTGAAAATTGTATTCCTAAAATATTATAATGAAATTTATAAAATTCTCGAACTTATAAAGCTAGGCCAGATAATTGGGAGTCTACTGTATGATAGTCTTCTTTAATTTAATTCCCAAAAATCAGACTATTTAGAATACCCTTTAAGTACCTACGTATGAATTTCCACTACCACTAGCCTATACAACTGTTGAACTAAAACGGTAAGCAGCTTATACTTTCTTCTTCCTGTAAACCTATTTAAAGACTGATGAAGACAAGAGTTTTGACTTAATCTTGTTCTTAAGAAGCTCATATTTGCAGTAAATAAGTTACCGCATAATCGTATTTCAGAGCTACCTGCGCCTATTGTATATGGAGACGTATAGTATGTATACTATGTATTCCAAACGTTGAATCAAATAATTTCAAATAAAAATACATATTACAGAAATAACAACATACAACAAAAATACAATGCAATACATATAGCATTGAATAAAGTAGTCTATACAACTTGTTACTGCTAAGTAAAAAAATTGTTACTGTTAAGTAATAGTCTTTTCTATATTAAACAACTTCTGTGCATATACTTTTCTGATATCTCTAAAAATAACGGAGATAATTAAGATGTCCGTAAAGTGCGTATATCCAGCCTACCCTATATTTTTATATTACCTACCCTATACTGTATGTTTATTGCATAATTTCTGGAACTTTGGCCCTCTACAGCCCCGAAATATGCAATAAACGAACGGCTACTGTATGTAATGCGTGTTATATATATTCTAAATTATCGACCAATTTTCTTATCGACCGGTAACGTAGTGAGTAGAGTGTCGGACTCATAACAGCTGCAAACTTTTTGAACGTAGGATCGAGCCCTCGTTAAGCTCATTTGTTTTGTCATATGTTAAATTTGGTTTTGGGGCACATTTGACCCCCTTATTCAGCTACAGCCACCCTTGTCATCCACGCAACGTGCACATTAACGAGGTATTACTGGACGTATGCGTAATGTGAATTTTCCAGTACTCAAACGGTATTATCTTACAAATTGATGGGAGTATAAAAAAAGTTATATAGACAGAAATTATAGAAAATGTAATGCTCTTTGAATATTATTTGAACAAAATTTCGATACGTCTTACCATTTTTGAGATATTCCTTATGAACTCCAAAAACATCGATCAATTCAAAAGTTGTCCGATTGAAATACACTTTTTCAGGGGTTAATTTTTTATAAAATGGAAACATACTAGCGGGTGAGAGCAAAAGATTCAATTGGATATTGAAAAATAATGGTCACTCTAATGTATTAATCAATATCAACTTTACTGATCTATAAACTAAAGAAGTTACGTATTTCTAACAAACGTAATTAACTAAAATTCATGAAAATACAAAATTCATTAATATTCAATGAAATCTGCATTTCCATTTTTATCTATTAGGATTTCTAATGAAAACAGTTCATTTCTATTTCATTTGCTCTGTTTGTGTCAATTACCATATAAACATTCGCAGTTTCTTAATAAAAAATGAAGAAACATGTGTACCGAGTGTTTAGAATTACAGTTATAAACTGGAAAATTTAATAAAGATGATTCAATAAGGTAGGAAAGTAAAATTATGTCACTAAATATGGTTTCACGAACGAATCATTTTGTTAAAATACTTATTTTTTTTAGAACCTAAACTGACAATATTTTGTGTAAGGACATTTACTTGAAATTTATTAATATCGCTATTAATATAATTAAAATTTCTCTTTCCATATGTTATCCTTATTTTTGGTGTGTACAAGCTTCAATGTGATAAGAAATGCAATATAAAACTTATTTCAGTATTAACACTAGGTTTACGGGCACTTATCGTGTAGGTATCTCTACGGCACGCAACAACGAACCCGTAGATTTTCTTTAAAAAACAACTTATTATATATAATACACAATTTATGATCTCTGAAATTAATGCATAGCTATAGAGATAGGTATACCACATAGAGAATTTCGAGGTTAGAAAGCATTCGAAATGCGTCAAAATGACGCGTCCCGTAAACCTAGTGTTAATATAATAGTTATCACTATACTATATATAATACTGCATGTCTTGCAGCTATGCAACGAGTATATCTAATTAATTAAGGTAGCATTAATTAATCTCTCAACATTCATTTTAAAAATGACTTTCTTTGCTGTTATATTTCCAGAAGCATTTTCTGTTCATTTCGTGTGTTAAACACCGTCGATATCGTTATCGTTGTGCTTATTTCATTATACATGTCTATTTAGCTCACAATCAGAGTAGCTTTAAAACTCATTACACTCTACACTGGTAATTAAAAAATTGTTTAAAATAGGTATTATCGCATACATCCATTGATAACATTATTACCAAATTAGAATTATCGTCTTCGTGTAACTAATCTGCTTTATGATGTTAGAAGAAGGTGAATGTTATTTGGAAACTTCTTATATTGTGTATTTTAAACTAAAAGCCGTTATTATATACAATACAGACTATACAACAAATGTGATCTAACTTTTGACACAAAAAATACATCCTTTTTTAAAATAAATGGAATTTGTTTAAAAAAAATTGAAATGAATTGAATTGCTTTTATACACAATGTTAGGGGATATCCTGCCTAAACTTCGCCAGTATATTGGACGAGTAGAAATTAAGAAATTTCATATAAACGTAGCTTCTTTGTATCGCCATTAAAACAACTGTTATAAAAACTATAAATGTTCGTTTAACTAAACCTAAGAATTAATAATCATTTATATTTATACGTCTATGTAGAACGTCGGTGAAGTCAAAAAGAAACTGATTTCCTCGCTTTTTCTAGTAACTTAGAATTTACACATACTCCAATACGATTTTGTTAAAATTCGAGAAAACCACAAAGCTATAAACCTTTTGTAACGAGGTTCATTTCAGGATTTTATTGTTGCGCTGTCTTTGCAACTTTGTGTATTTTGTATAAATCATTTTCCAAAAAGAAACTACTTTTTGTTATTCTTAAGATGCATTCTTCGGAAAGCTATCACACAAAACATTTTCACAAAAACAAAAAGTTTTTGCAGACCAATGTTGTCTGTACGAATTTTTTGTTATAGACTATCGAAAGAACCGAAAGCATAACAAGAAGATGAACACTAATATACATAGACGTAAGAGATTACATGTATGTATCTCAGTGATTATTAAGTATTTCTATGTGAACAAATATTTATAAAATGCACTGATGAGTAAATAAGTGGTCAGAACTAAAAATCAATAGGTAGCTACAATATCTTTTTTTGTAAAAAAATTCTAAAGGTACCTTACTTTTTCAGACAATTACATAGGAATTCTTCTTCCCTTAAAGTAAAACAAACTCAAAATAAATTGTGTACAATAATAAACTTAGTTTTTCATAAATCTCTTAACTTCGTCCTAACAAAAACAAACAACACTTGGAATAAAATATTCAGAATAACTGAACGTATAAATCATTGATATGCCCATTTTGTATCATACTAACTTACAAGAGCAAATCCGTTATCGTTTTCTTCGTATTTCATATTTTTTTTTATAACTTTACGATGTATTTTTATATAGTACATTTTCTTATTTCTACTTGTCGAACATATGCTGACGAAGTTTGACCAAAAAATTCTGGAACGATTGTTTATATGTAGACGTGACATATTCAAAAATACTTTCCTTTCAAAATTGCAAAAACGAAAAACTTATACGTTCAACAGACCTTTTGAAAATCGTTTATAAATGAGTCTAAGAAGATAGTCTGTTTGCATGACCTGTTTACTTAATAACTAAATCTAAAGGGAACTTTTTTTCATTCATTTTATGAAAACTGTCATTCAATTCGTACACTTTTACAAACATTACGTTTAAGATAAAAAATCGATTGATTAATAGTAAACAACGTAATACATGGATTACTGCAAAATACATATTATACTAGGTAATGAATATTTATTAAGCTGAAAAACTAATATTTGAGGTTTTTATAACTATAAAATAATGCATTATATAATGTTAATTATCTAAAACAATGGTACAAAATTTCTCGAAAGATAACTATACTTTCGATACTTTACTAACAGGAATTATTGATAAGAAATTTGAAACGTTATTATGGTTTATTGAATTAATTTTATCTTTTCCATTACATTTTCTACTGCAAAAATACGATAATATTACAACGATAGTGAAAAAAACTTAAATTTTAAGGTCAAATCTAACTGTCTTTGTCTTTTTTCGACGGGTAAAATTATTTGAAATAATTTCTTCCAATGTTGCTCAGTTATTTTTAAATAAAATATTCCAGTTTTTATGTATTTACACGTCTAAGTCAATAATTATCATTACAAACATTAGATACATTAAATAACTACTGTCATTTCTGTTACTGAACTTAGATAACAATAGATCCTGAAGCGGAATATTATCTCTATTTCACACAATTATTTATTATGAAATAATATATTCTTCTTTCCAAACAGTACCTACATTACCCACATACCAGAATTTCCAAATATTTCCCACGTAAAATTCAAATATTCACATTCAAATACAACGGAATTAGATACAATATTCTTACTTAGAAACAAGTAAAATCGTTGATATTTATAATTTCCATTCAGTAACATATAATAAATAATCGTGTTCACGAGTATTTGAATTCTAGTGTTAAAAACGGTTAGTCTACTAACCGACGCGATCGATACTTCGATGTATTGAAACATCGCGCGCAAAAGGGAAGAGTCATCAAAGGTGTAGCCAAATGGCCATCGTAAATTTCATTCCCATTTTTCTTGGTAACCCTGAATAAACTCAACTTACCCCAACTGCTTGCCGTTCGGCCCATAAAGGCACCGGTTTCACGATTGTAAATAAAGGTTTTAAGAGACTGGCCCGTTGACATGCTGGGCGGCCTGAGATAGGGATTCGCCTCCTGGGAGACCATCTTCGAATCCTTACTGACCATCGCGTCGTCCCAGGTAAAATGTATATTTCGTTAGAGAATTTACGCACTGGTCACGTGTAGATTCCGATTCGATTGACAAAGAACGATTAAAACTAATCCGAGATGAACACGGGACACGATGGAACGCGATCGAGCAACGGCACCGCAGGTTCGCCGCACCGAAACCGTGAGTTCCTCGAGGTCGGCTGGCAGCTTCTTCGCTACGTACAGTTGGTTGTTCAGCGCCACCAGGTTGACTAAACACGCTCCGTATCCGTTCGTGCAGGCTTCTTCTCCGTCTCCTTTTCATCTACTGTTTTCGTCTCACTTTCTCTTTCCCACTACCCCTCCTTAAAATCCCCACTTATGCGACGGGACTATCCACGGTTATATTATGACGTCGTATCGGCTGTGCACGTGCACGACCTCGCCGCAATGGTGTTGCCTGCTGCCGTTAGTGTAGTGGGGTTCATGGTGCCGATGCCACGGAAATGCCGATCACTTTCACGTACAAGAATTTTCAGCAGAAATCTCAATTACGATAGGTCGTATCCTATTGTCAATTCTTTTCATTACTGTCAGATTCGAAGAACAACATTCGGCGGTTTTGAAGTTTCATAGTGTACAATGGTGGTGTACGATGTTTTCAATGTCCCTCCTATGCCACGCCTAAAGTATAGGTTCTTTGTGCCTGCTCTATTCAGCGTGGTTTGGATTGAACTGGTTTTTCGTCGTTCAAACGGACAAGCTTGAAGATTTTAATGCGTGGAGGGCAACAACTCATATTACGTTTAGGTTGCCCGTACAGATGTAGCTCGTTTTATAGCACTAAACTTTAGATAAGGACTAGGTAATACATTAATTAGCTTTTCCAAATTCAGGATCGGAACTTCTTACTTAGATGTAAATAAAACCAATAACATTAATTAGTGCAAAAATGGTGGGGACAAATCGAATGATTCAAATTAGTCTTAAAATGAACTTGTAGATTTAGAAATTATGTTTTATGTAATACCTAGGAAGAATTAAATTTTTTATTGGTATTACTTTAATAAATAGAATTAACAGAATCGGTGAAAGGTGTATTCGCCATAGGTTAAAAATGAGAATGCGTACCGAAGCACCGTAGTGTATCCTATTATTTTGACGTGGCAAGCTACACTTGTACTACTACGCAAAAGTCTAGGGATTAACTTCCAGTAATACCAGTAAAGTTCACATAAATTATAAAATCAAAGTGAATTTAATTGTCAGTATTAGAGTAGTCAGTATTTAGTAGCAGAATAGTCTTGCAAAACATTGAAATCAGTGTAACCTACTCTTTATAGCGAAAGTAATCAAAGTTGTGTGGCGCGATCTAGTGTTCGATTTTCAAACTAATCCACCCGACTGGCTTTTAACCCTTTAGCTACGGCGAAGTTGGCAGCGAAGCTATACGCTGCATCAACAGCTCTGCTGCGGAGTACAAATGAAACAAAAAAATATTAAAATATTTCTACATCGACTAGGCAACGTACACAGATTTTTAGAAGCAAGAACACAAGTGATCCACTATGGTGGCGTTTCGTTCCAAAATATGTATGACTCAACGGAAAGCCACTATGGCGGCCCTTAGATCAGGTGGTTTCTCCTAGTTTTTTAGTTTAATGTTCCACTTACGATTGTAGTGCTTCACATAGAATGAATTATATTCGGCTTCAGAATTTAGTTAGAGTTTCTTTTAAATATCTAAAAATACTTTAAATGTATACTCTTCCAAGTAGTGGCAATAGATTACGAAATATTAAACCAATACACAAAGTTTTGTTTGATGCTATCATATAAGAATGGTATAAAAAAATACGGATCTATTCATAAAAAGATCTTATAGTAAAGTTAATAATCTATATATGCAATTGGATCAAATCGTATTTTTTCTCTAGTTGGGATTAGATAAAATTATAATATGCAATTGCACTTTTTAAAATTGTAACACATTGTTTTTACACAAACCGATTTCTACCGTCATTTTGTGTTAAAAATATTACAGTAATAAATTAATCGGAAAAATTCTGTCATAAAATATGTTAAATATAATGTCCTTATTAAAGAAGGTACTCAACGCCTCTTCCATTATATTGTAAATATTTTGTACATGCATTTATTTATTATTTTGATTAGGCATTCATTTCAAGTATCTCACAATGTATTAATTTTTTGGAGCATTTCATCTTTATACTATTTTATAAAATAGTAAAATAGTATAAACAGTAAAATGGAAGGAATTGATTTATGTAAGAGTAAAGAACATATATAGCATGTACTTCCACTGCAGATGCAGAGTGACACTTATGGAAAGAATTGTTTTAGAAGAACATACCTACAGCTCCTTAAACTATTTAAATTTTCCCTCCATCATTATGTTCTAATTGCAACCAGAAAAGAGACGAAATGTTTTATTTTCGCAAACAACCCTGTAAAATACATTACTATGTAGTCTTTGAGATGAGAAAAAGGGTCACGAAACTGTGAAGAAAAGACACTAAACAGAGATCTCAACTTACTTATTACTATTTGTAATATAAAAATGTATTTTACCTATTTTTAAGCCATTCGACTGTAAGAGCACAGTAATAGCGATAACAACTAATATTCATACACCTGCATAACGCAGTCATTGGATCGCCATCCCGGCGAAGAAGGCTGCGAAAATGATTTCCTCGACTTGATCGCCGAGGAACAAATTGGGGGCTAAGGTCAAACCCTGTGTGTGTGACCTTAGTGCCCGGAGGCGACTCTGTGTGTGCGATTCAGAGCACTATACTATTGGTAGTTACCTCCTCCCTCTTTTTTGTCACATCGAGATGAGTCGCGCGCGGACATATACATATAATGTGAGTCACATACGACGGACCGATCTGAATTAACCACATCCTGTCCACTATGTCGTGTGACATTAATGTCATTGCCGTGTGCCGTCCGACTGAGAGTATCAGGCAAAATAGACGGAAGAATCGTCTTAAATGTCTCGACCTCGTGCGACGATTTTGTCTTAAAAAATAGAAATTATAATATGCTACCTACGAGCCACGTGGCGCATTCAACTCATTATCCAAATTAATGACAAATTTAATTATATACAAATCCTTCAGAAATTAAAACGGAATACTTCTTTTTACCATGTTATAAAAATAGTGATTGCCAAAATATTAGTTCCTGACCTCCTTCAATAATTCTATATTCTCTGTTCGATTTCAGTTTTTCATAAATATTTACAGTCTACTTATTAGACATCGTGTATCTTGATCTGAAGTACCACTTTCCTAATATGATGAATTCGGGTATTTAATTCAACTCAACACTATAGATTTAATAGTTATAAAGGAAATACAAAAAACAATAGATTTAATAGTTATAAATGAAATACAAAAACAATATATAATCAATAAATTATAATCAAATTACTCTCTCAGAAAATAAACATAAGAACTTCCTGATTCATCAGAAATAAAAAAAATAGTATACATATCTTAAATACTTTTAACGTTTGAAAAATACTGTACACCCAGGATTTAATATAACAACGAAATTACAGAAACGTAAATAAAATGGTGTTCGTACAAAAATATAGAAAAAAAATTATATCTCGTTTGTTCTGAAACTTCGTTTTTTGGAATTATCTAAAGACGAATTTTTTGGAAGCTATACCTAAATACATACATGAGAGTATAGACAATATTAAATCGATTTTGCATTTAAAAAAAATATGTACATGCATCGATAGACATATAAAGGCCGCTACACACGTTCCGGCCGACTTGTTGTGTTCAACCAAGTGGTTAAATGAAAGAAAAGTTTATTCACATTTAAACTTATTAAATGAATTGCGGTTTTTACCTAAATATTGGAACAATTATTCATGGATGAACGAAGAAACTTACATAAAGTTTCTGTCTTTCGTTACTCCGTTAATAAAACAAAAGATATGTTTATAAGGAAAATTATTTCACCGCACCAGAGATTTGAATTGTCCAAATGAATCCATGAAAACACTGTAGTCTCATTATGGGAGTTAGCTTCAAGGAAAGCTTACATTGAAAGGCAATTACCAGTTTTATGCATCACATTGTTTTTAGAGAATGTACCTAATTGTTTTTGTACCTAAATCCTTCAATACTTTAATGAATAAAATCGTTGCTACTTAATTTTAGGTATAAGCATACACTTTATATTTCAACATCACCTATAAACATAAAGGTTCACTATGAACCAATCGCAACGAATAATCACCAAAATCTTGATTGTACAATGTATCCCATAAACTATAACTTGACCTTATAATAAAAATTAACACACACTTCTACACTCAATAGTACAATAAAAAACACTTATAATAATAAAAATAAATTAAAATAAACACTTAATAATAAGCCGTTATAATAAAAATAAATAAAAATAAAGAACACTTCTACAGTTAATATTAAAAAAGAAAAAAACTTGTACTTGCGATGTACTTTCGATTTTCCGAATGAACTTCGAATGAAGAAGAGTGGGCAAATGCCCAATTAACTTGGTTGGAATCATTTCGTCTCTCTCTAGAAGTGGTTCCTCTGTCAGGAAAGGGCATTTAACTTGGTTGGAATCATTTCGTCTCTGTCGAAAAGTGGTTTCTCCACTGATCTATATACTATATAGAATATAGATCATAGTATATAGATCAGTGGTTTCTCTCTCCGAGTGCCGCCTCTTGTTGTATCCCTACTCTTTGACCGTGGTACTGATTTATCTGTCAGTCAGTGTATAATATAGTCAAATATAGTTGAATATAGTATAGTAATATAACCAAATATAACTTAAGATCAGCTGATATTATACACTTACTTGTAGGGTTCCACCTAATTTATCGTTAGTCTTCAATACGTATCAGTTGTTATGGATTCGAAGGCATTGGTAAGACTCGAAAATAAAATTGGATAAATATGAGCATATTTAATAGATGAAATGATTAAAAAAATAAATTTCACGTTGTATTGTCTGTAATGCAGTCATGTATACCTATCATCTCTACAAAATGTTGGGAGTAAATTCATATAGTAATACAATTTCATAGTATATAAATGATTAAATTATGTGTTGAAATACATGTCTCATATTTAAAATCTACTTTCTTTCATCTTTCTTAAGAGAACAGTAAGTACAAAATCAATATATAGTAAAGTCTGTTATTTATATTAAAAAGACAATAATTATTTTGAAACTTGCACCAAGTATACCAATGTTTTGACATTTGTGTTAATAATGTAAATGTCTTTTATCTGATGTTTTGGATAGTTTTAACATAGTATGTACCCTTTGTATGTTAACAAAGACATACGTATGATATATCGAGTATAAGACAATTCTGTTGTTAAATACAATAACAAATGACCATTGCTGTATGATAGGTTATTAATATAAATCTTTCAAGCAGGCAAGTTATTTTGAGCATACCCTGAAGGTTGGCTGTCAACCTCAGAAATTCAGAATCTACTTCTTCAATATAATGTCTGAAAACTGTGTTGACTAAACTCATTTAAACATGGACTCAGATTCAACAGAAATGGCGAATGAAATCAAAAGCAAGGTAATATTGCATTGGAATTGTCGGGGTCTCGTGGAATTTCCTGAAGCAATGAGGATTTATGGGAACCATATTCAAGAAATATATTTGAAATGGAATAAACTTGCAACATTGCCTCCATGGATCATAGAACTGTTCAATGTCACCAATTTGTACATATATGGAAACTTAATCAAAGAACTGCCTGTAGAACTTTGTCAAATGAGTCAACTAACAGTTCTGGATGTTAGTGCGAACAAACTAGAACAGATACCTCCCTGCATAGGAAATTTAGTTAATTTGAAATCTTTATTGTTAAATGAAAACTTTATAGATAAATTACCAGCTGGTAAGTTTCTATATATTATGCATGGGAGATTGCATTTTTTCATTTTCTATATAATTCTTATAGAGATGAATCAGATGCATAATTTGGAAGTTCTCTCTATTTGTGGGAATAAACTTATTGCATTACCAGAATGGATGGGTTCATTGTCTAAACTGAAGGAATTAAAGGCAGATAATAATTGTTTGAAGGAATTACCAAATAGGCTTACTTTATCACCAAACATATCAGTAATTTCCGTGTGCTCTAACAGGTTGTTACACTAATTGAATAGAAATAATTATGTTAAAATAAATTAGTTTATTATGAGTAGACTTTTGTTAATATTATTAAATAATTTCATTTTATACAAAATAACTTTTATGTAGGCTAAGGTATTTACCACTAAATGGATTTGTATCATCTCCTTGCATTAGATTTGATGCGAATGTACATTTAAATTATTTGTCTTATCCAGTTCTTTATCAGTTAACTTCCCAAATCCAAGACATTAATACACATGATCAAAGAAACATTCTGGGTTATGGGTAAGTGAACTTTAATTAATACATGATACATATAAATAAATGTAAATCCTAGTACTTTAGGCTTAGACAGGTTTTAAAATGTATTCAAATATTCCAAGATAAATTAATACATAGTATAGTTTTTCATACTGTTTAATTTCAAATGATAAGAAATCTGTATTTATTATTGTATCTACAAATGTATACATATATACAATCACAGATGTTTCAAAACACATTGTGAGAACGTAGTATTACGTACAAATATAAAGTTAAACATAAAAATAAATGCACTGCATGAAGAAGATACTGATTTTGCAATTGAATTGCCTCGACAGCTTTTGAAAGTTCATAATATCCATGAAAACACTGTAGTCTCATTGTGGGAGTTAGCTTTGAGGAAAGCTTACACTGAAAGGTAATTACCAGTTTTATGCATCACATTGTTTTTAGGGAATGTACCTAATTGTGTTTGTACCTAAATCCTTCAACACTTTGATGAACAAAATCGTTGCTACTTAATTTTAGGTATAAGCATACACTTTATATTTCAACATCACCTATAAATATAAAGGTTCACTATGAACCAATCACAACGAATAATCACCAAAAACTTGACTGTACAATGTATCCCATAAACTATCCTTCGTGTAACTTGTTGATAAATGGACCTGTTAGTATCTGTGTACATTCTCAGTGTCAACAGCCGATATTCACAGAAGCTTGGGTTATTATTGGTGTTAGCCACCATATAGAGTCTATAACAACAGTTGCGCTATGCTGCTGCAAGAGGTAAGATAAATATTGTCTATACTCTCGTGTATGATGTCAAAGATTGTATCTTACTGTTGCAGATGCGCATCTGAGTTTATTAAATACTCCAATATGATAGTCATTCACGACTGGTCTCGTGTATATTAACTATAGTTACTTTATTTAGTTGATACTTCTGTAAATATAACGTATAAAAACAATGAAAGTTTAATATTTTTAAATTAGATTTAAAATTTGTAATCACTTAGCAACACTTGAAATATTTATCAGCAGCTCTCAGAATAGATTATATGAAGACATGTATATATCTTATCTCACAATGTCTACTAATTTGAATTTCTATTATACAATGTAGTAATTACTGGATGGCTATTCTTAAAATAACTGTAATTTATTTACATTTCAAGTTGAGTTTTTTCTATTTGTATGTGCAGTAAAAAAATTTGTATAGACCATTCCTCTCAATTATTTAGAACATAGTCTTGCATTCAAGCTATAAGAAAATCTAAGGCTCTATCGCGATCGATGTTGCATTTTAGAAGTGCTGCAGACGCTTCTTCTTCGGGGAAACCTAAATCTCGTAAAGTACAAAGATTTTCATAGTAAGCTTTGGCTTTGTCTTGATTATACTCTGTAAGGGCAAGAGCTTTTTCGGCATCCTCTCCAGACATTCCTATCTCCTCTAAAGACTGCACAGTCAGCAAGTACTCAACAATTTTCTTATTATCTTGACCACCTAGGTCGTGTATGGCGCGAGCGGCTCTTGACAAGGGAAATCCCATATCACTCAAATGGCGAGCTAACTTTTTATCCTCCTCTGTTAAGTTCAATAACAAATTCATTAGAGTCACTTGATTTGTTGCCACTGGTTCTTCTTGTTTTAACGTTTCATGAGAACTGGTATTAGGACTATCCAAATAAGGTCTTTCCAAGTCCCTTTGTAATTCCTGTACAATTGTGGACACACTACGGTGTTTAACAGTTTCTTGTACATTTTCTTTTTCTTGATCGCTTGCTTCATTTTTAATGTTATCATTCTTTTCGTCCGAATGAACATCAGATTGATCATTAACAGTTAAATCGTTCATTATATTCTCTAATTTCGCTGGTGACGCCCATTGAGATGTAGGCTGTAACACCTAGAAAAATATAAAAGAATATTGAAATGACTCATTCTGATATTATGACTGAGGTATCATGATATAATAGTTCCTTTTGGTTAACCTGAGCAAGTTCTTCCATATCATTTATAGTTTTTAATTCCATATTATCAAATGGGCTACTTGTATCATTATCAAAATCAGCAAAATCCAGTCCATTTGTTTTCACATGATCTTGAAGATCATTGGCGGGTGGAGATAAAGGCTGTGGAGTAAGAATCGTTGTCTCAGGCACAGGTGCATTTACAGGTAATTGTTTTACGTTATCAGGTAATGGAGGTGGTGGGGGAGGTGAAAATTCTTTCTTTTCTTTCTTTCTCTTCTCATCTAATCGTGCATGGCGTGCTTTGTTATTTGCTTGTCTAACTTTACGCCATTCTGTCATCTAAAAATTAAATGTTTGCAACTTACAATTCGTTCATTGGTTTTAACGTATCTTGTGGAATGGTAAGTTTTGCATTTTCTATAGGATATCACTGTAACAACCTATTACACAATTCATTAATAGTTATTCTTTTATCAGATAATGTACCTACAATTATATTTTGATCTTGCTAATTACTCTTTTGTTTGTAAAAGTCATCTAGACATTCTTTGCATATTTAGCATATTAACTTCTGGATTTTAAATTTATACCTATAATCTAAAGTCATGCAAATAGTAGAAAACATTTATAAAATGTACAACGAAAGTGTCATTAAGATTTAAATGTGTCAAATGTGTCTCTATAAATGTTTGCTTCGATGATAAACCACATTCTGAGCAGTCAAAAACAATATTTAAAGATGACTTACAAATAATGAATACGATGAACCACATTCTATCACGTTTTATTGTACCTAACAAGAAAAAAATGCAAATACTTTCCATTTAATCCAATACTTTGTGAACTTACAACTAAATAAAATGTTTTCTAATTTAATTTTTATGTGTGACAATATAAAATACACTTGTGTTACTTACACCATAGAATTCAAATTACATTATGATATAATACATTTATATTTCACGAATTCATGGAAAATAATACTCAACCTTTTCAAGTACTGATCGCTCCAAAATAAAGTTATAAGTTAGTTTTGACATGTCAGGCAGCTTATTGTTATATGCAGCTGGTAAACACACTTTTCTCGGCGGTTTATAAGCCTCTGCAATTTTGACGTGAACCCCATCCATGTAAGATGCGACTAAATCACACTGGGCCGACACTGAAGAACGTGCCATACTTCAGAATGAAAGGATTAATAGAATAGAAAAATAATTTGTCAAAATTTTCAGTTACGAAATCCGTATCATAACCTCATATTTCTATATGTGTTGTTTACTTTCATGTTGGTCGATAACTTCTCGCGCTTAATACTGTATATTTTTAGAAATATACACGATAAATTACATATCTTCCACTCAAGCAATTTATACTAAATACAATGATCTAAATATGTCTGACAGCTTACAATGATTTGAACTTCTAATGACTTCCAACAAAGCCATATTGAATTTGGCAAATACAGTCGATATGTGTCGATAGAACGATGAATCGACCAAATGTATCGAAATTTTGATATTTAATCCCTTTAGGGGGATAGTCCAAATTATAGTCCAAAGTTAAGTAGTGATAGTCTGTACTTAAGTTTTAAACGAAGAAAGTATGAAAAATTGTTGAAATGAAGAAACTGACATTTATTAACAGTTTATTTCTTTATTAACAATAAATATAAGTTATTGTCAACAATAAAATCACAATAAATATATTTGCTAAATTTTTTCAATGATATATACTTTCTATATACTTACATAATTTTAGTGTCATCAATTTAAAACCCCATCTATCACAATTCATGAAGACACTTATTGAACACAGGTATATATACTTGTTTTTTCGAAATATTTCGTATTGTAAATGACAATTATTTCAGTTGACATTGTGTAATATGAACAATTATTCTATTTTATTTATATTCTTATTATTTATTTATATATAATTATCTTCCCCTTGTATAACAGTTTCAATATTCTTACTATCTTGAACTTGTTTTATGTTCTTTGTATTATTATTATTGTCAGTTACTGCTTCTTGCTGTTTTTTCTGACCCTGTAACGCTTTCATATATGCAAGGAAAGAAGTCCAAATTAAACTACAAAAACTTACATAAACTACTCGATTGTGTTCTGGAATTAAGAAAAAGTTGACTGTTTGAAGAATGGGCCACACGCACACACCAACCTGAAAATGAAGTACATATTATAATTATTTGTATGAATATATTTTTATTAAACAGTGGATCTTATGCACTTGTAACATACTTCAGTGTAAAAAATAATGTAAAATAGAGTCTTTAATATTGTTTGATAAAATAATTATTTTATTTTCAGTCTAATAGAGGCACTGATAAAGAATGTCAATGCCTGTTTATCTGTGGTTTTCCAAAATTAATTCTTGAAAATGTAATGTTGCATAAACATCCGCAGTTTAATTACTACTACACGTATAAGTGTATCTACCACTTATAATAGACAAACTTTACTTTATATGTGGGCCAAAACTTTTGTTTAACTTCCTCAACACATTCTGCTATTGGTTTCAATTCAAGGAAATTTATGCCAAAGAAAAAGCAGCACATTGCAGTTGGACCATATGTGACTTGTTCTACTAAAGCCTGTAAAATAAATACAACACAATTGTTAATGCTACACCTTACATACATATTAATTATTTTAGATTAATTTCTATATACTTTGGTAATTGCAGATTTAATATCTGACTTGGGCCAAAAGTATGAAGAACATCTCAACCAACAATAGAGTGTTGGAGCCACAAAGAAACCACCATACAAACTGAATCTCAATGCTTGTATATAATTTAATTCTTCACTTCCGGCGATTTTTTGTTGCAGCAAACTTCCGGTAGGCCATATGACAGTGTAAGATGCCATCCCTCTTACGATTGGATATTTTTGCGACACTTCGCGAAATTTTACGAAAATAACACGCATTTTCGATCGTCACTGAAATATAAGAAAGTTTAATTATTAATACATAAATAACTATTAACTAATATACAGAGAAACATTATACACAATTCATGAACACTACACAGTATTATTATAAATGAATCGACTAAATATAAAAATTCAAGTTACTTTTAGTTTTAAGTTAAAGTAGAAATTTATTTCGAATGTATTGTTATCGCTGTGCGTATTACATCATTTCTGGAGAACTTTTGAATTTTGCATTATGTTTTCGTGGCACGTGACAAATTAGTTCGAAGTGAACGATGTTGCGCGCCAAACAAGAGAGCGCGTGCAATCGATGTTCAGAAATAGAGAAGTCGGGGCTTTCTATGTATACGTGTCAAAAAACATTTACCCAAAGCTTTGTCCAGCTTTATCAATTGGCTTACCATCGATTTAGTTGCTCGAATATTTTATATGCAAAGAAAAAAAAGAAACTGATAACGTACCGAGACCGTAAAGTCACTAAAATTCATGATGTAATACTTTCGTGGAATATGAGAAACTTCTTTCTTTCTTTTTTTTTTTTTCGTTTCGTTCGTTGCACATTTTCTTCATACATCGTACCTTCTTCTGATTAAAGGACGAAATGTCGACTGCGTTACCGCGGTTTGTTCGAACGTGACGCGAGGGAACTCGCTGCGCCGCGGATTCGTACGAGGTAGCAATCTCGTAAGGTTGACACATCTGGAAATGATTCGCTACTCCGAAGAAAACACACACATACTGGCAATGGTTGAGGTGAGGGTTGTATGCGACACGCGCAAACTATCGCCGATGACGAAACTGGTCGATCCATTCTTATCTGTCCTTGGTAATTTCGTGTCTTACGAGTGCACTTTTCCCGCTAGTTTGATATATCAGCAAGAGACTATTTAGACATCGCCCCTTCGATTATATATACACATATATATATATAATCTTATGATATCGATATACACACACAACACGTACGTGACAAAACAGTTTAGCACGTGCGTGACGTCAGTGAAATAAATAAGGTGCAGAAACAAATGTTTAGTTAATATGGATTAAGTAGGACACGATAAAATCTTAAATGAGACGTCTATCAATTAATATTTCATTTCTTTGTAATTATACAGCATATACAACAGTGTCGTAACGTGACTTTTTTTTTAGTGTCAATTATAATTTCTTGATCTTTTTGCTTGTCACATTTTCACTGTAATTCCTTTAAGTAATTACTACATTTACAGGCTTAAGTGAATGTTACTAAATGTAATAATGAACACATAACATGTGATATGGAAAATATATTATAAAAAAAATGGTACAAGTGCGAGAATACTTATACCATACAATAAATCCTATCAGTGTTATACATGTTTTAAAAGTTCAAGTTCATACAATTATACATAATGTACATTTATATTGTCTTGAATCATTTCACTTCAAAACTATGTACGTAATGAAATTACGTAGTTCATGAAATATACATACATATATTCCAGTGTTTCTAAAAACAATGCTAATTGCAACGCATTATTCATAAAAGTAATTCCCATTATGCAACAGTCATAAGTGAACAATGCTTTCTTTTGTTTACATTAAAGGTTGAAGTTTATACGCAAACCTATAGAAATAAATCACATACTATAGATTATAAAGAATCTGTCAAGATTTCCTATTACATTATCAAATAAAGATCCAACAAAAATCGACCGTGTAAACATCCTTTTTCTTTTTTAATAATTCTGTATTATTTTTTCTAATTCTAGTAATAAAAAAATACTGCATGTATCCAATGATCATTATCCACATCCATTCTTTAAAATTATATACACAGAACAGCCTTCAGAAATTGTCAACAAATTTTTGTATGATTTTGCACATTATTGGCACAGTCTGATTTATAAATCATATGAACCATCCAATCATTGAATCTATACAACTTGTTACTCATTTAGCCGTGATATCAAATAAGTCACAAATCCCTTCATTTTCACTAAGGTTGAAGTGGTAATCCTTCTCACTAGGTGGTGGACTTAATCTTATTAATGGTCCATAAACTGTAACAAAGAATTACGATATTAAAAACACATTTATTATTACTTATCAATTGAAGTATTGTTGTGTTTACTTACTGTCTGAATAAAATTGATCAAATAGTTCTAAATCTTTTTGAGCAATGTCTGAAATTAAAGTGTACGATTCAATAAAATGTTATTTCGTGGACTTATCCTGCAAGAAGTTGATTATCTTACTTGATGTGCTAACATCACGAAGCACGATTTTTGCTTCTATTAACTCTGCATCTTCTTCTTCATCTTCATCAGATATAACAGGGTCTGGTTTGCTAGCTCCTTTTGGTGGCCTAAAATTGAAAATTGAGTTTTTAAATTGTCAGTATCAAATTTTTATAAAGACTGTTGTAAATATTACTGTGATTGTATGATCTGTACCAAAGAAATAGATTTTCCTTGATATCTATTTATCCCCTAACAAGATCAATTAATGTATGCTCCTTGCAGGTCAAAAATATTATCTTCCTATTTTTGATGCGAACAGAGCAACTATTTTTTGCTTCTATATAGTTTTTTTTACCTTCCTACTCTTCTCTTTGGTTTAATATTAGTCTCTTCTCTCTTTTCTTCTTCCTCTTTTCCTCTTTTTGTACCTTTTGCTTCTTCTTGTAATCTCATTTCTAATATTTTATTATCATATGTTTTAGCTAATTCTGGTTGAATCATATATACTTTAATTTCACCTGAACTACTTTTAATAAACATTTCATAATTTATTTCCCTTTCCTCGTCTTCAGATGTCTAAGCAAATGAAAACATACATATATAATAAAATGTTAAAGAAAACTATGTAAACTTAGTTTTTTGAAAGCACAAATTACCTGCGATATATTTGGTACATTTAATTCTGTATCATCAGGTGCCTGAATTCCTAATACAAAATCATCGGGAAAATTTTCCTTTACATCTTCATAAGTGATGTATGCGAACTTCCTATTAATTAAGTCATTCTCTATATTCTTTATACTTTGTTGAATCCATTGAGTATGCATATCTAGCAACTGTTCATGATCCTCTAGTTTCTTAATTTCATCTTTCAAATCAGTCAATTTCTCACCAACTTCTTGAGTGTTACAGCCTGGACCTGCTCCTCTGTTAAAATATTTAAAATATGATTGTATAAGAAACATAACAATCAATTTTAACGTTTACGTAAACAGAAAAAAACCGTATACAAAACATTCAGTAAATGACGAACGCTAAAAAGAACATACTTCCACTGGATACTATTTTTGCTTTTCTTTTCTATAAGTCCAATGCCTTCCAGGACGTTGGTAATGTCATAAATGCGTCTCTTTTGCCGTACTTCCAAAATATCGGCAGCCTAAAATATTATAAACCAGTTATTGCGTGTTGTCAGCTGTAACGACATCGGACGTTCTATTTCTTTCTAGGTTATGTAAGATAGCACGTTGAGATATCAAAACTTATAACATATCTGTCGTGGAACATTAGATTACAATATTTTGCAGAATGAACGTAATGTTCAAGAGAAATATAATGAATAAGCATCGAAAATATTGATTTTAGCGTTACTTGTTTCAAAATTCCCGCAAGCTACAAATGGCGTGTACGCCCGCGACAACTTAACCTAGCAGGCAGGTTAACTTTTTATATCGGTGCTTTCATGGAATTACTTACTACTTTCAAGTCGAGGACACCATCCTTCGCTTTCTGCAATAAAGTGACAAAACGGGTCGTTAACAAGCCAAGGGACTTCTCGAATCTGCTTTGTTGATTATCTGCCATTCTCGAGGTCGTTGTCAAAATTTTCAAAACTCACTATTCCCTTCGAAATTGCCGCAACACCACGGACGCCATCCTAGCTAATACGCAGGAAGTATTTAAATATGAGCGCGTCTCTAGTGTCGATATAGCGTACTCAACATATGTATGTGCATATTAATAATTATTACCATTGTTCCATTTATTATATTATTTCTCAAAATCTATTTTAATGGTTAAATAGTAACAACAGTTAAACTTTCTATTCGTAACCGCATTTTACGTATTTGTGATTTGCTTTAAATAAAGTTATCATTTCACCTCACATTCTTCTAACACTTTTATTCAGTGACTTATCAGTATGGTTTTGTTAAAATAAAAACTAATGATAATATAAAGCGTGGGAAAGTATCGGTATCAGTGTTGAAGAATTTGTTACTAAGTTTAAAAACATTGACTATTGGTCTTTCAGATAAGGGATGTATAAGTGGAAGAGTTGATTAGGTACTTATTATGTAGGTCGTAGGTAAATCACCTTAAATGTTTTACTAAAAAACTTTAAATAACCTTCAACTATCCTTGACGTTTTCAGCTAAAATATAATACCTAAAACTCTAAATATAATTATAGGAGACACTTTGGAAGGATTCTTTTGTGAAAACGAACACATAATTTTATTTTAGTGATTTTATTTAACAAAGTTAGAGAAAAAACATTTTATATCAATATATTTAAAAAATGTAGTATGTACAGTTCTGGTTCATGATATATTAGAACATGGGTCTTAAATTATATAAAAATTATATAAGATATAAGCAATATTAGCCTTAAAAGACTATAATCTAGTGAATCAATTTATTATTACGGAAAAATAAATTCATTAGTTATAGTCGTTGCATCAGGACTGAGACTAGAGCTTGCAGAGCTTAGAGTATCTTCTTTGATTTTCAAATTGGACGAATCTTTGTTTTTATCTTTCTCTTTTTCTTTTTCTTTAACCTTGTCTTTGTCTTTTTTCTCTTTATCTTTACCATGCTTATGATCATGCTTATGTTTATGTTTGTGTTTGTGCTTCTTTTTGTCCTTTTTCTTTTTCTTGTTCTGCAAAATATAATTATGCACATAAATATACATATATATTATACATAACACACATAAGTATACCATTGATTAAATACAGGTTGATCCTCTCGCTGCGCAAACCAACGGCTGTGCCGCTTAAGAACCGCAGCGTCAGTATGTGTAATCTGTCAACCGGTCCTCACTGTTGATGACGCCTCGGGGCCACACACGCGCCGACACGACGGTTCTTTAGAACGGCACGAAGTTTGATTTGCGCAGCGAGAGGATCACCCTTTATTTACAATAACACAATTTACCTTATTAACAGAATCACTCTTCTGTTTGTGTTCTTCTACTTCTTTTTTAAACATTCCTGGTTCAAATCCTACTGGTCCTGGAGTTCCCATAATTCCAGGTAATGACGCAGAATTATCACTATAATATTCTGATTTTACTTTCCCTTCGCTAGTTACGGAACTTGCTCGTTCGTCCTTTTTAATGAAGCAGAAAGCATAATAATTAATTAATTAAAAAATGAAGTTTATCTACATTTTATAATAATAAATTTTACATTAGTTGCCTGCTTTTGACGTTTCACTTCCGGACCATAATCTATTGAATTTGAAGGGCCTGGAGTATCTCTGTTGGGGGAAGGTTTCCTTTTGCCTGACCCACTTACGTTGTCTATTTCAATAATTAGCGGTTCATGTTTTATATGCGATATGTTTGGTTTCACCTAAAATACATACGATTCTTATTGGAACTGTATAAATCATTTTTACTTTCTATTCTCTACAATGATTACATACATCTTGTTCAGGGCTTTGTGGTCCTGCCTTTTTCGGTTTCATAATGGCAGCAATTTCAGGAATAGGTAGACAGAGTGGACGCTTTGAGCCGTATAAAGTATAGTACAAATCAACTAAATCACACCGTATTTTGGGATCATGTGAAAGCATACCACTGAAATAATGTATTAAATATTATTATCCAACAAAAATTAAGACGTTCCGTGCTCAAGTGTTTTTGTTTAATTTCACGTTTATGCTACCTGGACTACTGACTCGCAGCAGTATATACTATAAATATATACAGTTTACATCACACGATACTTATAAGAATAAAAATATCGATTCTATTGATGAAAAAAACAATGACGTATAAAGTGCGCTATATGAAAAAATAAATACTTTCATGGTGTAATTAAAATTAGTCGATATTACGATGCATTACGTGAATAGTTAATATCAACAATAACCAGGAGAATAATTCTTTCGCGAGTTTAGAGTGTTAAATCACATAGAAACTGAATTTATAAGTACTTAATTAAGTTCCATATACGATCAACTAAGTCAGTACGATCCAAACGGTGTTTATGGGCTCTTTCGAACGGTGGATTTTCAACCATAAGCCTGACCAATCTATGTCGTACGCCAGGGTGAGGATCCATTTCTATCATGTCTAATAAGAATTCTAAGTCTTCCCATTTACCATCCACTCTTGTAAAATCAACTAATGCTTCCAATGCAGCAATTCGAACGTCTAAACCAATACGAAAAAGTATGTGACTAATATTCATTAATGTTTAATGATACCTATGATATGTAATGCGTTATGTACGTACCTATAAATTGTCCATATGCAGCGTATGCTCTGAAAAGGTGAGGATTACTTGGAAGATGACCAAACTTTTGTAAAATTCGTATAACTTTCAGACAAGTAACACTGACTGTATACTTATAACACGGTAACAATTTTTCCAAATTTAAATTTCTAGTAACCTCCTCTAATATAGCTTTAGTATCAACAGATAAAGATTCAGCAGTAATAGCTGTTCTAGAAGAGAAACACGTTAAATATGTAGTTACAGTACTATAAAGTAGTTTTCTTTAGTGTTCATTCATCATACCCTTGTTGTATACTAATCACTGGTGTAACAGTTGCTCCAAGAGCCTCGATTAAAGCTGCTCTGTAATAATTGTCCGAATATCTATTCTTACTGTTATCATTGTATTTAAATAAATCCATTAAAAAGGCTAAAACTTCTGGTGGGCAAATACCATGAGCATTTCGCAATCCTGCCATTGCCACAGGTATAGTCTAAACAATAACGAACGTATATAATAAAATGTTATAAAATAAACTATTTATTTGCATTGGAAACTAAGACTCCAACCTTTTGAAGAAAGTAGTGCTGAAAATTTGAAAAATTATTCTGTTTAATTATGCGTCTGCATGATGCTGATCCAAATAATTTTCTAAATATAGCTAACATTGCTGGTGGGCCTGCCCATGTTGCAACCATTGCATTAGCTACCTGTAAAAATATATGTGTTAATCATATGTATACTGCGCTCAACTGTCACTTGTATAAATACTGGAATTCAAATGACCTTAGTTAAGCAGTGTGCAGCTCGTAGTCTAACTTTATAATAACAGTGTTCATTTTCAATCGTGTCAGTCAACGCTAATCGCGTAGCAGGTGTTGCATGATTTTGCAAAGCTTCGATAGCTTCTAACTGTGCAGTGACGTCTCTCTCATGTCTTAATTGATATTGCCATTGGTAATCCGGCTGTTCAATTTGAACGGCACGCATAAGTGTCATTTCAGGATCTAATCTTATCCATAATACAGGAGAGTCACTGGAAATAAAAATTATATTATTGTGATAGTTTTAATAAAATATGCCGTTCACTGACATAAAATATTATTTACTCCATAGCAGAAAGATCCATATCCACTTCTTCCCCAGTACATAGTGGAATCTTTTTCTTTTTATTTCTACGACTTTTACTGTGACATGTTATATCTGCTTTTGCAACTGTCCCTTCAATTTGTAATGTGTGCTTGAAAGTACCATCCAACTCTTGAATATTAACTAAAAGTGGTCCCACATATTTTCTTATTCCTCTTTGATTCGTGGTGTCTTGCCGAATTTCCAACTCAACTGTATTCCTGTATAATGTATTTTATATTAATATAGGCGATTGCAAAAAAAAAACAAACTAAGTACATTGCATATCAAAAATGTCTAAAATTACCTCTTCCTATTAAAAACGAAACTTAAACTAAATTTCGCATGTCCGCCAGTTCTGACCCATTGATCTATAAACACTGCCATATCTTTACCTGTTACAGTAAAGATTGCTTTGGTAAATACGTTTGTACTAATTAGCATATGAGACCAGAGTCCAGAATCAATTTTTTGTTGCGCAGCATTAGCAGCAAGGGATAATTGTTTATTGAATACCTGAAGAATAGTAATATAAATTCCTACTTTAAAAAAATAATGAAGCGTTAATTATAATAATAGTAACATTTACCTGGAGAAGTAATTCTAGACCAATTCGATGTTCTAACATTCTGATTACTAGATGTGCTTTTTTACGAAGCACTTCTATATACTTTGGGGACATTGTATGTAAATTTCTTATTGGAAAATAAAAACCAGGATCTGGAGCTCTTGGTGTGGGTGCTGGTGTGTTGGCTGCAATGGGTAGTGGAGCTGGTGGTTGTGAGGGATCTAATATTATACCTCCAAACTGCTCTTCGTATTTTACAACTTCTTGTAACTCCTTAAAGCATCAATAATATCAATCTAAAAAGTTTTATACTAGTAGGTGAAAATAAAGAAAACTGTTTACCGATTGAACCCATTCTCGATATTCATTATTTCCAAAACACTTTTTTGCATATAAACCAGTTAGATATGTTGATATACCTTTAGGCAACCATGTATCAGACCAATTTTGCATGGATATAAAACAACCAAAAAATTGTTCCGCAACAGCTTGAGCCATAGCTTTCTTTGTAATGTAAACTTGATCAATGATTGCAGTAGAATGTAAGAGATTTGTGCTTTAAATGAATAATTGTTTAGTTAGTTTCTACTATTTATTCAAATATTTAATGTTGATATCATTTATTAGTTTTACTTACTTTAATATACTCATAGTGGCATATGCATTGATATCATCATCCAGTTCATCTACAAACACTTGCTTATAACAAGAATAAGGATACCTGTTTGATAATGTTTCTTCATAAAATTCAAATGCCTCGTGCATGTATTTTGCGGACACTTTTAATGATGGTAATAACTGTGGTAAACAAAAGTGTGTCACTTCATGCATGTATGGATCCACAAATATTTCAAATGGTCTAAAAAATAAAATGATAATAGCCATTAAATGTTTTATATGAATAAGAAACATAATTTCTTATTTATTTTAAATAATTTATTAATCCACCAACTTACCCAACTGCTAGTGCAATATTTGGTGCACATGCTGGTGTGTTGAGAACATAATGAAATGTTTTTCTTCTCATGTCTGGAGTATATACAACTTCTACAAGGTCACCACAAGATATGGCTGTCATTGAATCATCAATAGTAAATTCCAATTTCCAAGTACATGGTTCTGCGAAACTATCAATACATGGAAACCATAGCCTTGAAGAATTTTCATAACTGTATGTATACATATGTGCACCTCTCTAAAAAAATATGCATATAAAATTTTCTCAAATATGTTCCAGATCAAGTTTAGTACGAGTGTAATACATTCATTTTACCTCTGCCAAAGTTCCTTCACAGTTTGGTACAACAAAATGTACTCCACCCTGAGGTTGCTCCAAAGAAAATTCAATACTAATTCGTAAACTTCTACCTTCAGCAACTACATGCGCTGCATCAGGTGGAATTTGCACAACTAACTCCCCTGCATTATTATCTGGATCCACCCTCTGCGCTGCTGCTAAATGCATATCTGAAAAAAATTCCAATGACCGCCTGTAAGAATATAATATGAAATTATTATGGATTATTCGCACTATATAAAAATATTATGAATATTTGTCATATAAGTATTTACTGTTTGCCATCTCCTTGACAAATATCCAGAAATGGATCAAAATATTGAAACGGTGCCTCGTAAGTATCATTTAAACATACTCTGTAAATTCTACATTGCTTTGCATTGAGTTCCACAAGCCTCAATGTATCTCGAAGTGGAACAATTGTCAATTCCACAAAGCCCTGCACATAAAAAAGATATTTATAATACAATATTTGAAGAAATTTTATAAAAACAATTACGATACTTACAATAATACTCTTCCTTTGGAAACTTATACCTGTAAGGCTCAATATTTGGTGAGCCGTAAGATAAAAAAGAATTACTGAGTAATCATTTATATTTTTGATAAATCAGATTAAATATTCAATAAACTCTTTTATTGTAAGAGAAAAAGTGGAACTTAATCGCTTAAAGTAAAAAAAACAGAAACATTATATTTTGTAAACATAACCTAAATGTAAAAACAAAATTGATTTAAGCAATGCACGTATAAGTTCCTACAGCAATTTAGTATTTCTTAGTATTTGCCATAAATACAATTATAAGAAATTTGATTTGTTCAAATATCAAGAAAATTAATAATTATTGTTCAGATTATAAGCTTTTTGGAAATACTTATAATTTATATGGTCGGCTGTTATCGGCCGTCCTTTCTTTCTTCATATTTCCATTTGAGTATTTTCACCAGTTTGGATAATTTACTCTCGTATTTTGTCAGCGTTAATTGCATACGAAAGCATTTTTTACATTTCAACTCATTCGAAACCTACACAAAATTTTTGCGCGAATAACACCAGCGGATACTACTGGATACTAGACACAACTGCACACAATAAGTGCATAACAAATACAAGTACTCAACTGACTCAAACTTAAACACAACAGTTAAACACTCGATCAATGATCACATAGGTCACATAGTTGCACATACCTAGTACCACCTAGTACATAAGATTAAAGAGAGCGTTGTTATTCTTGAGGCCGTTCGATGAAGTGAGTGATTTGAATAAAAAAGAAAGCACCAGAAAGGACCAATGATTGTGAAGCATTAATCGATGTACAATTGCTTTTTACAAAAATGTTACGTTCAATTTTCTTTACTACCTATGTTATATTCATATAAACAAAGAGAATATATAAATGCATAATTTCTACTATAATAGTGGAGATAGTATTGTAAATAAGTGACCGATTTAAATCCTCGACAGGATCGTGGATATTACACCTAAAAGTCATCAGAGGTTCGATTACATTGAGAATTTTAGCATATTTAGTTGGTTATGCTAAATGCATTAGATTTTCGGTGTTATTTGTAACAAATGATTTGAGTGAAGAGCATCAGTTATCACCAGTTATGACCATTAGTTAGAGAACGATATTTTCAAGTGATTTAAAACCATATGCATATGTAAATAGTGTGTAAATATTTCAATTTTACAAATGGACGAAACGCACTCCGAGGCAGTGTAAGTTTTCTAAAGATTATATATTGTAATAATTTTTAAATTTAATAATATTTTATAAATATATTGTTATATTTATGTTTATTACCTTTTTTTATTTATTGTTCTTAGAAAATCTGTAGGAAATCCTTAATCATTAGGATCTTAAAAAATCCTAAAATAAGTAAATTATTTTGTTTTAGACAAGTGGAACATAATGTAACTGAAGTAAATTTGCCTGCAGTAATGGCTAGTCTAGAAATGCTCACAGTAAATACAAATTTATCAACGTCAGAAAGCAAAAGACGATCCAGAAGAAAACATAACGTGAACCCGAATGAAGTCCTTAACAGAAGGTATATTGTTATTTGCCATAACGTATAAAAAAAAAATTAAATAAACAACTATTATCATTACACAAAATGTTTATATATATACTATTAGGTGCAGTTTGAGACCCAGAAAAAGAACCAATGCAGAGATGGAGAATGATGAGGTACAAACAAAAACACAAGAAGGAGAAGTAGATATTAAAAACTATTATTTAAATAAAAGCTTGAAACGAAAGTTAAACAATTTGGAAACAATTTATGAAGAAAAAGATGATATAAGTGAAAATGCGACATACATGAGTGTAAAAAGATATAAACGTATGATACAGTTTCAAAATAAACCTTCAGATTGTAAGTTAAAGAAGAGAAGAGCAAAAATTAAGAAGGTGTTTGGGTCAAAGATTAATTTTAAACGAAGGTGTGCATCTATGCAGATGTTGCTTGACAAATTGAATGGTATTAAAGCAGAATCTCCCACAAAAATTGATGGTGAAACAAAGTAATAAATGTAAGAGAATTGAAATGTACAATGTGGATTAAGTTATAGTGAAAAACTTTTCACTAAAATTTTCTTGTTTAATAGAAACGTCATGATTTAGTTATTACTCAATTTTTAAATGTTTGTATAATAATTTAAACTTGCATAAAGCAGTACTTATGGTAATAGCAGTAAATTATTTGTGGTAATAGCAGTACACTTGGAGAGAATCAACTTCTGTTTTTATTCTGTCTTTGAAAAATATATCAAAGAATGATATAATAACAAAATACAATTGCACTATGAATGCGTACTTACTCGATAAGACAGGCATTATCCAGAATGTTGCTTTCCTCGATAACACTGTTTGAATCAGAATAATATTAAATTTTTTATTTAAAATACATTATCTTGATATAAGTACAATTTTTAGTTTTAAATTGGTTCTGTTTGCATTTACTTTGTATGTTCTTTAGTGCATTTATATTAATTTATGTATATATATATAAGTAATCTACCTATGATATAAAATTTACATTTTATATATTTGTTTTCTATTAGACTTTTTTAATAACATGCAAGTATGCACCTTCAAAGTGCAATGAATTATATTTCAAATACTAACAAAAAAGATGTTCAACGAACTTGTATGATCACATAAACTGAGGAAGACTGATAAAATAAAAAAGTGCTATAAGTATTTATTTAATATTTTACATTCACTGAAAATGAAAACAATAGACTACTATGATATATTTTTTCTTATAAATATACTGTATTTTGTATTACAAATTATATACAATTATATCTGCAGTATTAAAATATATAGATTCGTAAGAGAGTGATATAAAAAATAAAAAAGTTAAGTATGTAAATATTTACATGTAGTATACATAAATATTGAAGTAATGCTGTAACTGATCATATTACACATTTTTTTGCTATGTATTATTTGTCCTCACAGCACATTTTATCGAAGTTTTTGGGCAACCACTATACTCTCTAAGCATTCCTTTCGTTTCCTCATATTCTTTACTATCGAGTTTAACGCATGCGCACCTATATTGTTGCGAATTTGGAGATTCAAATAACATTCGTGGTACACCAAACCATTCTCTTTCTATTCCCCCACTGAAAAAAAGGAACTTGAGTTATTCTGATGAAATGAAAAATATTTTCAAAAACGTATTCACCTTTTTTTGGAACACCATACTACAGTTCCAGAGTCAGGATTCCATTCTACATTACATGGGGGGAACATCCGTTTTCTATGTCCCTCTTCAGATTCTCTTTCCTTAGCATGTTTTAACATTCTTTGTACATTGTAAGATTCTTCAGTTGGAGTACCATCTTCACTGTAGTATCTACCATTCAATTTTCCTGTACCAAAAAAAATATATACAAAATATCAAATATATTATTTCAGATGAATAATCTTATGATTGGACTATGGATTTTATGTATTTATAATTGTGCACAACAAATTATAATAAGAACTGAAGTCAAGTTTAATAAAGGTTTTTTCACAGAGAGTCAGTCTACTCATAATGATCGATGCCTAGAATACCTTTGTAAATGTAGTTTTCATTGTAGAACTGTAGCCAATCATTTAGTGCCTTAATTTGTTGCACAGATAATGAAGAAATATCATCTGTTAAACCTTCATCATCAAATTCTCCTGTGATAAAAGCTAACGAAGCATCACGACCTGTAAACATATCTATTTAATATATGACCTAAGTATCACATAAACATAATCTTATATATTTTACCAGTGAAGACATGATAAGCTGCACCAGGCCCATAATGTTTTGCACCTTCTGTGACATCAAAAACTTGACCTAATATTGAAATATATAAACCATCCTTCAAATTTGTATATTTCTTGAGTTCATTCGGAGTAAATATTTTTCGTTCTGTATTAGCTTTTGGAACTGATTTCGAGTTTCTGTTTAGACCAGAATAAATGCTATCAATAATATTTAGTCCTCTTTCCATAAAATCTTTAAGTTTTATATCGTTCAGATAATCATGCGAGTATAACAAATATATAGATCCGAATAGTGGTAGTAACCAAAAATATTTGGAAAACATAATTTGGTTAAGATCTCAAATGCATTCCTTAATGAAGTTTTTATATTCACAACACAAATATATTTTTTATATAACGTAAATATAAAAAATCAATAATTAAGAAAATCAGGAACAGTACAGTTACTAGAATTGTTTAAACTTTTCATAAGAAAGGAAATTCTTAATTAATGTTTCTACATAAATGCAATCTATTTTCATACTTTTTACAATTTTTTTTAATAGGAAAAAGTATGAAAACTCAGTATTTTTAACACTTCAGCCTTCAGACTTCTTATTGTGTACACTGGACGCACGTCATTCTTTAGACGAAGTGGCGGGCCTTATAAATATTGTTTAATATATCCAGAATTTTTTATTGTAATAATAATGTAGTATTTCACGAAACTTAGCTAATAAGTACATATAATATAATATGTATGTGTATATATACGCTTAAGTGCATGCGCATATCAAAATTGTATTCCTTGATGGAATTTTGAAACGATTTTCCATTTGCAAAGAAAAATAGTGATGAACTAGTGGATCTTTACAGTTCTATAACGTTAAATCTATTGTAACAAGAATAAAAATATCGTGTTCCAAATTGAAATAGCAAGTACGGTTTAAATTTGAAATGTACAAAATTCGAATTTTTAACTCGCTCGTGATTCAGAGAACAAATAAGTATTCAAATTACACGGACTATTTGTTCGAATATGTTGCTTAAAAAATCGTTATACAAAATAATAAATAGAGATCATTATTAAAACAATTATACCTAAATGGGAAGAAGATATCATTAGAAATATAATTTCTGAATTAAATTTAATAATAGCACCACTGCGTATGCTGAACCTTGTCTTTGCACTTATTCTATCCACTGCATTTCTTTTTACGAATATTACTCTTTATTCCTTTTGCAATGTACGTAATTATAAAAACTATAAAGCAAGTATGTACAATAAAAACGTATTATTATTGTTAAAAACTTTGATTGCATAAACTCCGCTGCCTTGAAAGTATAATATTACGCTATATTCTCTGTCATGTTGGCATATTTTATCTTCTCTCTTGCATTCATTAGTCAATATACATTCCTTCGTCAAATACTTAATGATAAATGTCTTTCTAAATCCAACTTATCGGCATACACTCAACCATGTATCTCCTCGCATTTTTCATGTAGGTTCACTGAAAGAATATTATTTAAAATCGGCGATCGTACTATAACTTTTCAAGACTAAAGTCCCAGTTAAGAAGACAGTACATTTAATGAGGCCATCATCATGCATGTATCAAAGTTTCATTTTTATTCGGCACGATATTTAGACAAATTCCTCTGCAGAACTTTGTACCACTTTGTAGTTTGTACCGAGAGAAGGCTCCGTAAAGAAGGAGCAAGAGATTAGGAACAGGTATATGCAATTAGAATAAGGATATAGGATGGCGCGTAGAGAGGGAAGCGGGACAATGCACGCAGGGCGGAAGTGAGAAACCACTCGTTGCAAATGGCAGACGTATGATACCGTCTACTTATATTACTGGTGTAACCGTGGCAGTGGATTACGGTTATACGTGACTGCGCGTTGTATCGCTTGACGAGATTGAACGTTATTCCGTACAGAATCGTCGTTAATAAAAGAACACAATAGTGATGGCGAAGCTGGTGAACGTTTGGCGGGACGATGACCCGGTTGATTTGACGCGAAGACAAATGCCGTTGATTGTCGATGAGAATCTCACGGTGAGCACGATTTTCTTCTGTCAACGTTTTCTAACTAGATGTCTGATTATTGAAAACTAACGACTTAAGAGGACTTACGTAATGGCATCCTATGATATTTCCGACTTAACCTAAACGTGGCAATGAATGCATGCATGGCATAACTAATTTGGAGTAGTGTGTTTAATATTGGTATTCTCCTTAACAATTGCTGATTGCTGGTAGTCGAACATGATTCACGTTTCTACGAACTGATAGTAACTTCTCAACTTGCGTTCATTCTATTATTGCGACTTTAAAATCACTTGTTTTCTTCTGAATATAAAGAATGTCAAACTGAATTGTTTTTTTTGTTTTTGCTTTGATTAGATACTATGTAACAATTGAAACGAACGCTTGAATGATAAAATTACTGATGATTGGAATGTAAAAATTTTATTTTCGTATATAATAATACATAAAATGGATACAACTGTGTAATTTTTATAAAAATCCTTTTACTTAATATTTTTTATAAATATATGTACAATTTTTAATTTCATACAGTGTTATACAATTTTTTTAGAAAAACATTTTATTTTATTCTTCAGAAAGATTGAATTAATTTAATTTGTTAATGTAAAAATAATTTTAATTTCTGTAGATGATTATGGATATAAATGGTTTAGGAGCAATGAGTGATAACCCATTGGTACGTGGTAAACAGCTTGATGAATTTACTAAAAAGCTTGATATGCTTACCAAGGATGAAATTAAAGCATCGTTTGAAGTAACATGCAAGGATATGCTTGCAATTTTGGGTCAAGCTGTACCATGTGTTGGCTGTAGGAGAAGGTAAAAAATACTTTTTATATGTGGTCAATTGAATTTATTTATGATATCTTTTAATATTTGATATTTTATATACTCAGTGTTGAAAGATTGTTCTATGACCTCATGAAATCAGGGCATCCAGCTTTAGATCCTTTAGTAATTACACCAGAAGGTTTATTGTCGATAAACGATGATGTTTTGGAGTCACCACAATTATTATGTACAATGTTACAAGGACACAGGTAAAAATTAGATATTGTAATGCATTTGCCAAGAGTATACAATATCTACAAATTTATTATTTTATATAGCACGAGGTTAAACAGTTTAGTTGAAAGGCAACCTAGAAATAAAAAATCACGAAGATGTGTATTACACTCGTTAGAAATTCAACGTATGAGACCTCTTCCAAGTGCATGGAGAGAGGTATGGGATTGTATGGAACCACCGTGTCGTCAAGAACTTGCTCTAATAGAAACTGATACTCTTGATGCTACCTTGGATACATATTTACGTAAACATCGGTAAGTTTGTGAAGGTTGTATTTGAAATATTTGTAGTTAAGATTTTTCATTGTGTATACTCTTATAGATTCTGCGGTGAATGTCGTACAAAAGTAGTACTGGCATCTTCTTTGTTAACAACAGAGCCTGAACCAGCAAAAGAAACAGGCTATGTTGCTGCCCTATATTCTGGGATCAAACGTTGCATACGAGACAGACATGTACATTTACCTACTAGCACAGATTATATTAATACCTTAATTGGGCGTGCTCAACCAGAACTGATGGGAAGGTACATAGTTTTTAAAGTTTTATTATTTATAGGTTTATCTTAACGTTTTATTAATTAACATTTTTTTTTAAATTACAGGGAACGACACGCAAAGACATTAGAAATAGCTCAGGAAGAGGTACTTACATGTTTAGGAATATGTGTTGCTGAACGTTTGCATAGGGTTCATCGACGATTAAGGGAAGAAGAAACTGTGTGCAAAGTGTTAGCTGCTGTTGCAGTAGATGCATTATCCAGGAATTTTCAAGTATAAACAGTGAAACTAATATGTGGCATGCATTAACAAAAACATTTGTACATGGTTAAATGATTCTTTATAGATGGCTGTAGAAGTTAAGCAAGGTATTTCTCAATTGGAACTCCTTTATGAAGAATTAACGAGAGAAGAAATAGCAAAGAAACAACGACGAGAAAAGTTACGTTTGAAACGCAAGAAGAAGAAGGAACGCCGTTACGAGACAGAAGAAAAGGAAAATACATGTGATGTAAGCTGTGTTCTATACATTCAAGCTTTTAGTACCGATGAATATGTTTATTCATTTAATTTTATATTTACAGTGTTCAAGCAAAACACAAAGTGGTGACAGTGAAACGCAGTGTGTTTGTGCGGATTCAAAACCCACAACACAAAATATAGACAGACATAAGGTATTGAATCAATATTGCGTGTAATTGTACATGTATATATTTAACAATGAATGTATTTTTGTATCTTTTAGTTACAAGTATTAGATCCAAAAAATAAGGGACCACCCACGTGTAAATGTCCAGACTGCATAAAGAAATCAAAATCTAATATATCACAATCACAAAGTCAAACTCAGTTAGCATTCCCCAAAAAAATATCAAACTTACAAAAGAATGGAATTAAGAAAGTTTCGTCTGAATCAAAACCAAAGGTTACTACAAATCAAACGAAAAAAAGTAACGTTTCTATTAAAAATCTTTCCGAAGAAGAACTGTCTGAAACTTGCGAGTCGTGTAAGGTAATAAAACAATTTATCAGTACATGTTCTGTATATACATTTTAATGTGTTTTTGTAATATTTATATATCGTTCAATGTATAGGATTGTTCGGAGAAAATTGTAGATGACCACTGGCATAGTCTAGAAGACTGTAAGGACCCAATGGCTAAAGACATAGTGGATGCTTGGATAGGAAAACCAAGCAAAAGATACATGTGGATAGAAATGAAAAAACGTTTCGGATTGTCAATCTCGGAAAGGAAAAGCCGTTCTTCAAGTGAACAATCGTCGCAAGATTGTGGTTATTCTTCGGAACACAATATTAGCAGTTCTTCTCTTCCTAGTACACCAGAAGGATCGGAAGTAGCTTGCAGCGATGGATGTTGTAACCACGAAAGAGATTGTCACGACATGCAATCATCTGATAAACTTCTTCATTCCAATTCTAGCATCTCATTACTAAAGGAAAAGGGAGGCGGTCTGACACTTACACAGATGTTAGAAGTAAGCGTTTAATTTTTTGCAGTTCGATTTTTGTTTAATATTCTGTCGTTTCATTTGTAACAGAATTTATTTATTCTCAGGAATCCTATTTATCAGATGACGAAGAAAAAGAGAGTTATATTCCGGCGGAGGAAGTATTGGAATTTAAATCGCGAATGTGTCAAGTTCTTGAGAAACGGCAAGAACTTCGTCAAACACTTAGAAAACGTTTCGCAATTTTATGCAGCCATCACAAGCCCTTTACCATTCCTAATTAAAATTTTTTACTAGGTACAGTTACTTAATAGGATACAATCTTTCTTTCTTTCTTTTTTTTTTTTTACATTGATTTACTGCCAGTAGAAACACATGAATGCAATAGATGTATTTTGGATAACTGTTATCGTTGGAGGACAACCTTCTTGTGTGAATAAAATATCGTTGGAAATGTACATCGTAAAAACGTCATATAATATGGTTTATCTGCAAGCAGAAAATTACATCTAATAATCTAGAGGTATATACCACGATACAATTATGCTTTGAATTTTGCAGTTTTCTACGCAGTTAAATTCAGAAGGATTAAAAGACAATTTTGTAGATGAAAATGTAACTATAAATGAATGAAATTTAAAATTGAAGTCGATTAACTCTGAGAACTGGTTTCAAGAAAATATAAATTATCAGATGTATGTACAAATAAATATATCTGTGAAATTGGGACCCCTCAAACTTCGGAAAGTAGGAAAAGTAGGAAGGAGTCATGGTCGTACTAGTTAAGACTCGAGCTAATCATCCGAAGATCGTTGGTTTGAGTATCACTTGCCCGGTCCTTCTTCTTCCTAAGTTTCTACATATTAATGTTCAGAGTTAAGGGAGAGACATACTTCTTTATGTTTGTATAATAAAACATGATCATTTCTATGAGCACGTATTAGTAAAAAATTAGTAAATCAGAGTCGATTGCACGTAATAAAGAATTGTATAAAAGATGAAATTTATTAATTACTACATACTTTTATTCGAGATTTATTTGTAAATGTAAGTCTCGACTTACTTTTTTGAAAAACGAATATAAATGTTGTCATAATATGATTAGAAAATATAAAAAAAATTATTATAAAATAAATACTGCATTCCACTTTATATTATTCCAAATTACATTCTCTCTGTACAGTTTCATATAACAAGTTTAATATAAAATAGTTGTTCTTTTATATCATATAGACCATGTTAATTTTATGTCTTTATATAAATAAGTCTTTACATAAAAATAAGATTATTTAATACATTATAACCTTAGTTTAAGTCCTGAAATGGTTTATAAAACCATGTTCTAACTTAAATGAACAAAATTATGTATATACACTCTTCACAGCTTTATAGATACAATGTATGTATTAATTAATGTATATGAAGGAATGACTAGTTCGTATTATGTTGTGTTATTATGCTTTTGTAATAGCTTTAGTTTCACGTTCGGCTTATTTCTTGTATTCGGCGAAACATAAGCATGCATTCGTCCCTCCAAAACCAAAAGCATTTTTCAAAGCTACAAGCCTTGACGTCGTATTCCAATCTTTTTTCGCATTGGGGGCAAAATTTAAGCATGTTTCTGTATCTAGATTATGCAAATTTAATGTTGGTGGAATTATGCCCTCTTTTATTGCTAAAATAGCAAAAGTTGCTTCTAAGTTTCCTGCTGCACCTAGTAAGTGACCATGAGCTCCTTTGGTACTGGAAATAGTTACATTTTGACTATGTTGTCCCATAAATGATTCTATAGCTTTTACTTCAATGGCATCTCCCAAGGGAGTCGAAGTTGCATGTGCACTAACAAAAGTAATTTCTGTGGAATCTATACCAGCATCTTTGACAGCTCTGTCCATAGCTAATATTGCACCAGTACCATCTTCACTGGGTGCAGTTAAATGTGCTGCATCTCCAGACAGACCATATCCTAATACTTCTGCATAAATATTAGCATTTCTTGTGAGTGCATGATTTAATTCTTCTAATACCAATATAGCGGCACCTTCTCCCATTACAAATCCATCTCTATCTTTATCAAATGGGCGTGATGCTTCATGTGGAAAATCATTTCTTGACGTGCTTAATGCTCGAAGCCTACAGAAAGCAGCTATAGCAAGAGGACTAATGCATGCTTCTGCACCACCACACACCATTACAGATGTTTCTCCACCACGGATGAAACGAAATGCATCACCTAAAAGTTAGATATGTTATTTACTTGTACTCTTGACAATTATCCCTTTTTCACTAAAACATATACCAATTGCATGTGCTCCAGTTGCACATGCTGTTGATACAGAATGATTCGGTCCACGAAAGCCATATTTAATACTAATTTGTCCAGCAGCCATGTTAGGCAAAATCCTTGGTACAAAATAAGGACTAACTTTGTTATATCCTTTTTTTAAAGCTTCATACGTTGTGCATATATCAACTAAATCTACCATTCCAATTCCTACTGACACTCCTGTATCTTGCTTGTCTGTTTCATCTTTTGGTTTCCATTTTGCATCGTTTAATGCCATTTCAGTGGCTATCAAGGCATATGCAGTCGCACCGCACATTGTACGTAACTCGCTTTTTGAGAAGTAAGATTCTATGTTTAATTCATTAGAACCATTTCCTTTAGGAACTAATGCTCCTATGATTGAGTAATTAAACATATTTTATATACATATATAAATTACAATTGATTACATTATTAGGAGATACTAAAGTTGTATATGACCTTACCAATTCTACAAGGTAGTTTATCATAATCTGGTTCAGTCAATTTGATAATACCTGACTTAGAATTAATGAGATTGTCCCAAGCATTCTGTGTACCTACTCCTAGTGGACATACTACTCCCATTCCTGTCACTACAACTCGTCGTCTGCATCTTGCAGCAGTTACTATAGTACGACTAACGCTGTAAAGTGGAGTAAACATTTGACCGGTAGGACGGTAAATTTGATTAAAAAAAAAGTTATATTTTAAGGTTATAGACTATTAAATCATCACACGTTATCAGCAGAAATTTCGCAATTTATGTACAACATAAACGTCTTCGAAATCCATTTTAAAAATAATAATTAACCATAAATAATTATTCTCAAATTTTATTCGCAAATTTACAATGGAAACAGTTCGTTTCATACAGTTGCATAAGTTCCCTAAAAATTCGGTCAATCAGGTCAAACAGTATTGTCACTGATTGTCACCATTGGTCACCATAGACATATATAGGGTGTAACAAAAATGTTGGAGGACCCGGAAATGGGAGACTCGTGTCACTCGTGAGATGATTTGAAACAAGTTTTTCCTTAGCAAAAGTTTTATCGGAGGCTTTGTTAACGAGATATTCAGAGATATTAACGAAAAACCCTGACCAATCTGAACTGCCAAGTCTGCCACAGTTTGCCAGCCGAAATCCCGCCTTCCCGCGGTAGCGTTGGCCGCGTTGGCTACCAAATTGGGTAGTAGTACTACCGTAGTACTACCATAGTACCAATCACAGCGTATATAATACACAGCCGTAAGAGAATCCCCCATCACAGTCCCATTAGAAAGAGAGGAAAGTTATTTCAGTTATTGTCCTCTCTTTCTAGCGTCGACTTCATCCCTACCATAAGACCCGCAGTCTATTGTATATACTATGCTACCCATACGATTCTAATAGCAAGGAATAGAACTTCTATTATAGAAGTTCCTGTATGTGTGAATACTGTACGCATACAGGGACATGCAATGTGACAGATATCATATGATAAAGCAATGACTAGTCATTATTATCTAAAAATTACTTTACGCGTTAGTTGATACAGATACAGTTAATGCTTATTACTGTTCCGTATAATGCGTTAAATCTGTATATTTAAATAGTCATGGAAGTATCACGTTTGCAACCGTGTATTCAGTTGCAGCTTTCAAATGAAGAGTTTCAAAATATCATAGATAAGGCTAAGGATTGGGCACTTATGCATGGTATTAATTAATAAATATTCCAAACAAAATTCTAATTATTTTTTATAACTATTGCAATTACATGACACGAATTTCGTAAAATTAATTAAAAAATTGTATTCTTATTTGCAGGTATTAGTATTCGATCAAAAGAAGCGTTTAACAAAAATCAAGTACAGGTCTTACCATTTACATTATTACCGTCAGCATTTCCTAGAAAGAATTTTGAGAAAGCAAAGAATATCCAAGTATTATTAAATGAACTTATACATAAAGTTGCACATAATCATAGTTTTCTTAGCAACAGTTTGAAGAGGTACTTAAATTGGCAATCAATTTTCTTTACAGCATGTATATTCCTCATTTATTGCAAGTAAATATTTTATATCTTTTTAGTACAATTGACGCTGATCCTTTTACAGCAAAATTATTTAGCATTTATGAAACTGTGCATAAAGAAGGATATGGTCAGGTAAAGTAACATATAGTTAATATAATTATGTTATATACAAGTATTTTTAAATATATAATTGCATTCCTTTTATAGACTATAAGTGTTGGTTTGCTTCGATCGGATTACATGTTGCACGAGAATGAGATTAAACAGGTTGAATTAAATACTATTGCAAGTAGTTTTGGGGGAATAGCTACAGTTACTTCACGATATCATAAGTAAATTTTTCTAATGAAAGTCTTTGTTAAAACTATTTGATAAGTTCTTTAGATTGATAGAACATGTATTTTTTAGGTACATCTTATCAGAATTAGGACATGCAGACAAAATAGAACATGTAAATATATAGTGATTATGTTGTGTATATAATTCACTAGAGATGAAATTAATAAGTGGTTAATTACTTTTAGGTTCCAGAAAACAATCCTATTTCAGGACTTTGTAAAGGGTTAACATATGCATGGAAATTATATGATAATAATCAGTAAGTATTTTTAAATATATGGTGTCCCAAGTATATATCGTGATATTTTAAAAGAAGGTATTAATGCCCAAGTTGAAGAAAAGATGTTCTATAATATTATGTTCGATCTGTTATCATTTCGTAGTAATAAAGCATTAAAGTTTTATTAAACATGTTCCGCTGTTTATGCTATACTACAGCATGATGCTGTCTGTCATAGGGTTTCTTAATTTTACAGCTTATCAGTAATGAGACATAGGAGAAGAAAGTCTCAATACATTTTGTTATATCTCCTATAGTTTAGCTGTTATAAAACACATGCAGATACAGCATAATTTAATCTTTATTATTGTAAAATAGGACATTTTTTGTTCCATTTGTATTCTCGTACCTGCTTCTTAAATTATTGAAACATACATGTGGAACAACCTGTATAATAAAGAATACAGTTATCACAGTTATAATTCATATTTTTAATTTTAGGGCTGTGATATTATTTATTGTTGAAAGTATTACATACAATATATGTGATCAGAGATTTCATGAATTTGAAATTCGTAAGCTCAATCCCAATATAAAGGTAATTAGGCAGAGTTTACGAGATCTAGTGCCTGTAACAAAACTGGGACCTAATAACGAATTAATAGTGTATGTACACCTATACATATTTTATAAAAAAAGAGAATACTTACATTTTTTCACATATTTTTCCTCAATTAATGAAAGTGTAAAATACTTTTGATGCAGTTACCTTAAATATTTACAGCAAAAAAAGTGATTAAAAGTAACAGTTTAATTCCGAGGGGAATAGTAGCAATAGATAAACTAAGTTGATGAATTTTTAAATTTATTTTTGAGTTATCCTGGCAGTCAATTTTGAAAACTTTTTGATAAATTTTAGTACACAGCTATTGGAACATATTGTTTAAATGTTACATCTAAAAACACTGTATTTATTAAGAAAGTCGATCTTTTATTTATCTAAATGGCACTATAACTCGCATTATTAAATTTACTATTCATGTTTAGTTAGAGAATTATAGGATAATTATTTTATATATATTTTAGTGGAAATCAAGTAGTTTCTGTAGTCTATTTCCGTTCTGGTTACGAAGTTGAAGCTTATCCTACAGACGAAGAATGGTCAGTTAGATTACTGATTGAACGTTCTCGAGCAATAAAATGTCCCTCGATACAATATCATCTAGCAGGCACTAAAAAGGTACATCTATAAAATGTGTCTTAACATTTACATGTTTGACTGAATAATGAAAAAAATAACTCTTCCCAGATACAACAATCTTTAGCATATCCTAATGCATTAGATATATTTTTAAAAGAGACTGGTATCATAAAAGAAATACAAGAAGTATTTGCTGGTCTTTATTCGCTAGAATTTGTAAGTATAGAAGATAATATATCTGAAACATAGGACATTTCCCATAAATACAAAAATAGATGGTTAATATTTGTACTTTGATAGTATTGTATAATTGTTTGATATTTTTAATGAACTACATTATTTGAGGAATATAGAATGATGAGGGAGACGCAATCATTGAAAAAGCTAAAGCAGACCCCCAAAAGTATGTTCTCAAACCACAGAGAGAAGGGGGTGGAAATAATATTTATAATGAGAACATAAGGGAGCAATTAGAATCTATGAAGTTTTTAGAAGAAAGAACAGGTTGGATACTTATGGATCGTTTATATCCCCCAGTTCAAAAAAATTATATTGTACGCGCTCAAAATGAGCCATTTGAAAAACATAGCCTTTCTCTTTTTGATGTTGTATCAGAACTTGGCATTTACGGTGTTGTAATAGGGTAATTATTTTTATACTTCGACTTGATTTCTACATTTGAAGGCATATCACGAGGTAACAAATATCAACTCTTACAGGGATCATGAAAATATTATGTACAATGAATGTGTAGGTCACATTTTACGAACTAAACCGTCGAACGAAAATGAAGGTGGCATAGCAGCAGGAAATGTACAAACATAGAGAAATTATATTTTCAATGGTGAGCATTGTAATGCAAATTTATAAAATATATCTGCTATGTACTTAATGACAATTTAATTAAAACATCTGTATCTAGTTTTATCATTTATTGTGTCTGAACAATGATGTTCACAGCCTTTTTTTCAATTTTCTATATGCATGACTTTTATAAATATAGACACATATACAACATACACAATTTAATTTACATATCTATTTCTGTATTAATACCGTAGTTTGCATTAACGTTTATATTAATTAACATATTAATGTATTAAACGAGTGTTTTGTTTGTATTCTGATTCTTCAGATTCCTCATCTGATTGATCTGAATCTAGAATATTCATTGTATGCTTTCCATTCCTTTGCATTAATTTTCCATTCTGCTTCTGAATAGAAAATACAAATTAACGGATAATTTATAATAATTGTCAGGATTACGTAATTGTATCATATTTACGTTACCTTCGTCATATTGACTACTGGATTTACATATTCATGTTCCCCTGGAGGTAATGATATACAATTGAATGTTGTTATCTTATTTCCGTGATCATACGTGGAATTTTGAAAATGAATACTACAAACAAAAAGAGAATAATATATTCCTAGAAAAAATGAAAAATAAGTATCGAATTTTAATAATTGGGAGTAAATGTTTTGTTCACTCACGTGACATCATTTTTTTTGGTAGAGCTCGGCTTTACTTTTTGGTAATAAAAATATCCAGATATAATGACGATGATCACGATGCAACATACAAGTGTGATAATTACTCCAATTAATGATCCGCTTTTGTGGTCAATGTTTTCGCTTCTTTGATTAACAACACTCGAATCGAATTTAATTTTCGTATGTGTGCCTTGTACACAAGCGCCTTTGAAATTCTCTGAATGGCCATCTTGACAAATACACGTTGAATTATTCTTACCCAGCACGCACATGTAGTCACATTCATGATTCTCGCAAGTGTTTTTCACTGTTCAACAAAAATATGAAATGCTATCAATCAATTTCAAATCACATTTAACAATATTTGTTTTTTAATTGTGGTAAATGACTAATCTTTTATGCACGTACCAGTAGGTTGCCTGGATGTGTGCAAAATTGAGAAGTATTTGTTGATATTTGAGTTACCAATAGGGATCTTTGTACATGACTTATCATCGTATAGTTTGCACTTTTTTAAGGTACCCGTTGTACCCATCAACCAATACAAACTGTTTTCGTATATGTTTATGCTTACAGCTTGGTAAACCTGAGACATCAAGATAATGATGGAACATGTGAAATAGGATTTTTGTTCAGTACATCTATAATAATTGAATCAAAGTTTGTTCGTAGCCCAAGATCATTGATACATATGAAATTATTTGGTTGGTTTTGTCGATAAAAGTCACAAGTAGACTGCGGATTTTTATGCAAAAGCACATTTTTTAAAGTAATTTTTTAAGACAACAGCAAAGATAGGAATTTCTTTCTTCTCTGGAATGTCTTAATGTATTCAGAATAAAGTAGAAAACACATTGCACTTGACAAAAGTTTTTTCTCTATTGTATTACACAAAGCCCTTCGGCTATAAATGTATAAAATCCGCAGTCTAATCATAAGTGATACACAATACATAACTGACAATGGGAACAATAATATGGTGCAGTAATTTTATTCTGTTTCCGCATACTTACATCCGTTTTTAAAAATATCGCACGATTAGAGCCATCGAAATTCGACGATTCAATAGTTTTTAGGAATGTGTCTGACCAATATAATCTAGATCTTGTATAATCAATTGCTAATGAATAGACAATACCCATGTTCCGATAAACAATCGACGTCGCATTAGAACCTTTTGTATCAGACCGATATATTTTACTGGCTGGTTTGTCGTAAAATATCCAATTAGTCTGACACCAAAACAGCCACCTGTATTATAATTTTATAGAATTATCGATAAAGAAATTAAATATTGGGAGAAGTAACTCAACATATTTATGAGGTTTTCTACATACTCTTCTTTTGGGTGGACAACAATAGACATAGCTTTAATTCGTGGCCCAATGTTGATTAGTTTAGCACATTTCTGTTGTTCTAAATTGCACACCTGTAAATGTTAGTAAAAGGCGTAGTAGTGAATATTTTTCATAACGTGCCTATTCATAAGGGATTTTTGCGAAGTGATACACAACGATTTTTCTGTAACATTGGTCAATTGTTCATGGGATCAACCTAAGAATTTATCTGTATTTCGTTCGTGCTACTTTTAAACATTACGGGAGAAACCGCCCTTTCGATCCGAAACGTCCCTTTTACTTATTCGCTTGTAACTCGTAAACTACAAAAGACATCGAAAAAATGTAGACAAATTTTATATCGTTTTTCGCTGTACTGTTCATATATCGGTAGGAAAAAATGTTCCAAATATTATTTTCAATCAGAATTTTTGGAAAACGATATAAGATTTACCTGAACCATTTTTCCGATATAACATTATAGTAAAATTTACTTATTCGCGTGTAACTCGTACATTACAAAAGATATCGAAAAAAAGTTCACGTAAATTTTATATGGTTTTCAGAAAATTTTGTTTGAAAATCATTTTTTTTTAACACTTCTTCTTATCGATATATGGACAGTACAACGAAAAACGATATACAATTTGTCTGTAGCAAAAGGGACGTTTCGGATACAAAGGGTGGTTTCTCCCTTAAAGTCTAAAAGTAGCATGAACCAAGCGTGAAAAAATTCTGAGATTGGTCCCATAAAAATTGAGCAGTGTTACAGAAAAGTCGATGTCTATTACTTCGCGAACATGCCTTGTCAGATCATTGATTTTTGTTCGAACTGAATGATAAATATTTGATACCTTAATGCTGCTTATGTGGTCGTTGTCATTAAAATACACATTATCAGTAATCCAGTCAACAGCGAGAGCTTCCGGTCTCCCAAGACCGGTGACAGTTTTTCGTGTTTTGCTCTCTATATGCAGTTTATTGATCATACCTAACATATCTGAAAAAAATAAGAATACTTTCAAAGCAAATTGCATTTTCGTACAACGTATCTTACGAAAAGTTTAATGGTAATTATTTAAAACAAGAGAACCCAGCTCCGATGACCTTGACCTTGACATATGTTGTCAAAGTCATCGGAGCTGGGTCGCTTTTTGTAAATATCTACCAAAACGATACATTAGATCTTAAGAATTAGAAAAAAAATGCAAAATTAAACAAACTGAACAAAAAAATACATTACCATTACTCCAATAGATAGTCCCCTCTTTTGCGTTCACATCGATGCCAGAGATATCAGAACTTAATTCCTCATAGACAACGTCAATTGTACTGAAGCTTGGTGACAACTTTCTAATATCACTCCCAGTCACAGAAATTATTTCCATTTGTGGCCCTGTTTTTATGATTCACAGTAAAATATGAAATTTATTAATTGTACGCTTTTCGTCATTGGAACAAGTTGGCAAACGCTAATGTTAAATGAGTATGCTAGTCGACTAGACTATACACGCGTTACTTACCAGATACTTTACAAGAAGTCTTGTCCCTCCGGAGTACATATCCTTCGTGACAGGAGCAAATGAAAGATCCAACGGTATTACGACAAACTTGCGAGCAGACGTCGAGCTCACATTCATTAATGTCAGTGCACGATTTTAAATCATAGCTCAATTGATATCCGGTTCGACAACCGCAGATTGGACCCGCTGGTGTTTTATGGCATAAATATTCACAGGGATTCTGTTTTTCACACGAGAGTGCTGCGGAAATATAACAAATATCGTATCTAAATCCAATTCATTTTAATCTGTACATGAATCATAAGCATCACATTTACTTGCCCTGTTTATATGTACAGGGTGTCCCAAAATAGTTTCAACTCCCGGAAATGAGGGGTTCCTGGGGTGATTTGAAACAACTTTTTCCTTAGCGAAAATGTTATCCGAGGCTTTGTTAACGAGATATTAACGAACAACCCCGACCAATCAGAGCGCGAGTCTGCCGGCCGAGCTCTCGCGGCGCTGCGATTGGTAGCCAACGCTACCGCGGGAATTCGGCCGGCAGACTCGCGCTCCGATTGGTCGGGTTCTTTTGTTAATATCTCGTTAACAAAGCCTCGGATAACATTTTCGCTAAGGCAAAAGTTGTTTCAAATCATCCCAGGAACCCCTCATTTTCGGGAGTCGAAGCTATTTTGGAACACCCTGTATAAACTTTGATTATATGCCACCTTACCACATTTTCCAAATTCGTCGCTTTGATCTAAACAGTCCACCGTTCCGTCGCAAACCTTTTCAAAGGGTAGGCAAACTCCATTGGAACACCTGAATTCTTTGCAATTAGACACAGTGCTGACACTGGTCTTTCCTAAATTACCACCGTCGCAATCTCTTTCATCGGATCCATCCCCGCAGTCATCAGCGTGATCGCATACCCAGGTTTCATCGATGCATTTCTGATTGTCACAAGAGTATTCTCCCTTTTCGCATATAGCGCAATTACGTTCGTCATCGTGTTTCGGACACTCTGGAACGCCGTTACACCTGTAACATAATGTTAATTAAATGACGAATAATAAACAACGATTCATAATGCGAATAACGAAAATGAAATCATTCGATACGGCAAATTTGTAACCTATGCTTTTGAGAAAGCATTTAGGAAACTGTTCTATAGGTGACCGTGAATGACACTCTTTTTGTATTGAGTCATTCTACGCGAAATCAGACACTTTTGGAGCATCATTTCGGATTTTGTTCAAATTTGAATATGTTGTAGGCTTTAGCGATATATTGACGTATCTTGAAGGATCTTTGAAAATTTTTTAAATTGTTGATTTTACAGCTGTTTGAAATTTAGGGTCAACCTTTCTTCAATAAATCATAACTATTGAACTAACAAACTGATCAAACTGAGCTTTGTGACTTCTTACAGTGAAAACATAAGAGTACGAAATAAAAATGATTTCAGTTAAAAAAAAATATATTTTAATCATTTATTTTGCAATTGTTGTAAATAAATGCCCTGTTTTTATACCGGGGAAATATTTAAACTTTTGGAAAAAATGAGGAGATAGCCCAATTTATCCTCTTTATGGATATGTCTTCAAAAATATGGACACTTTATAATTGGCTGTATGAAAATTAATTGAAGTAAATGCTGCGTCGAATCACATTGGCTCGATGCAATGTTAACTTCAATCAATTTTCATACGGCTAATTTTAAAGTGTCCATATTTTTGAAGATATGTCCATGAAGAAAACAAATAGGGCTATATCCTCATTTTTTTCAAATTTTGGAAAAACTGTTACTCTGTTTAAGATACACATTTTTCCGTCTCTCTTGTACGATTGTTAGTTTATCAGATATTAAAAACTACTCACTTTGCTGCCTTTGGAATACATGTATCCGTACTGTAGCATCTGTATTCATCTGCAGTACAATTGACAAAGTTATTCTTTCTGTTCTCCGTGCAATAGTATTCATCACTATGATCCTCGCAATCGTTGACTGTATTGCATTTTAAGGCGACATTAATACAACGACCATTGGAACACGTGAACATATCGTGTGGACATGACTTCCTCTGGCATGTTTCACTTTCGTCGGATCCGTCCGGACAGTCAACCTTAGGTAAAAAAGAAAATAAAGCAATTGCATACTAGATGATTGGACTAAACCTAGATAGTACATGATACCTTGAAGACGTCCTTTTTACGGATATTTTCGGTCTAAGGCGGCTTTAAGCCGTTTTCAAGGCGTCATTAGACCTCATGTGCTATCTGGGAAATGTTTCGAAATATGTGGGTGAAAATACGAAACCGAAAGTGCCCGCCACTTGAAATAGTTACGCAAACAGGAGTTATATTTTTGTTTCTTTCTATTTGAATTTTTAGCGAACAATTACATAATACACATACGAAAAATCTGTCATAAGATTCGATGTTTCTCACAGTTCAAACGGAATGTCCAGTCGTAAGATTTCCCGTTCTTATTTCTTAATCCATCAAATTAAAGAGCTTTACGAACGGTACTTGTTACATGTTTTTATTATTTATTTAATAACAAAATTGTGTTTAAAATTATACCTTTCAATCTATTTCAAATATTTATTTATTCAAATATCTATTTCAATAATGATAGACTGGAAGATACAATTTTAAACACAATTCTGTTGTTGAGTAAATAATAAAAGCAATAAACTTATCTTTTGAAAGTTAGACAAGGAAAAATCTCATTCAATAGACTCACCTCGCCATCACATTTCCATGTTTTAGGAATACATGATCCACCGTCGCACGTGAAACTATCTGTGTCACACGTATGTTTGCCGCAATTGATCTCGTCGGAAAAATCAGAACAATCGTTTCCGCCGTTGCACAAGAGATATTTCGATATACATGAACCCTCATGACATTGAAATTCATCTGAAAGATATTAAAGTTTCCATTGTGAACGATTATTGGGTTTAGTAAACATTTACAATAACGATCATCGTTTTTCGATGTTAATGCTTTGCAACGATAGTACAGATACAATGTCTCGATAAATGCGACGTACTCGAGTCTGCTTCATAGCATTCCAGAGATGGGCATTATCTAGATAAAAAATTATTTAAATAACTGTTTGAATAAAAGATACTTTATCTTTTATCGTTACTCAAAGCTTGAACAAAAAAGTAACTTTATCGACGAGCGTCGATTAAATAAATTTATTCAACAAGAATTATCCGATGTTTAAAAGATACTTTTTGTAATCATGGCGTTTCACTCATAGCGTCGATGATATTTTCATCTTTCACTTTTATCTTTATCCGAAAACTTCGAGGCTTATTTAATCAGAAACTTTACTGTTACTCAAAATCCATTTCTACCTTTTTCTGCCCAAAATCGAACAAAAATTAGATGTCAGAATATACAAAAAATACTCAATACATGAAATGCAGAATATGTTCTGACTAATTAAGTACTTTGCTAGCGATTGCTAACCAACGTTACCGCGGGAACTCCGCCGACAGACTCGCGCTCTGATTGGTCGGGGTTTTCCGTTAATATCTCGTTAACAAATTCCTCGGATAACATTTTCGCTAAGGAAAAAGTTGTTTCAACTCATGTCAGGAATTCCTCATTTCGGGAGTCGAAGCTATTTTGGAACACCCTGTATTTCGATATCTTTCGACGTATTTCTGAAATTTCTGTTGGCAGAAGTATTCTTCCTCATAGCTCTAACTATGCAGAATAAAAAGAATGTTTCAGGTAAATGTTACTACGTTTGTTAAGAGTTATTCGAATAAAAAACGTTAATATGCCGATCCATTAAAAAAAAACGAGATTTGCCTTCTTTGTTCTCTTGGGAGTGTTGCCAGAAAAATTGGTTACACATCAAATTATCAACTCCCTTGTCCCATTTAATATGAAAGAAACTTCAAGTCGATATTCGCAGTGGTTTCGAAGAAAGCAGTCTGTAACACTATATTCGGTTCATCCGCCCTGTACACAGCCCAGATAGCACATAACGCCCAACGACGCCTCAAAGACGGCTTAAAGGCGTCTTAGACCTAAAATAGCTGTAAAATGGGCGTCTTCAATGCGTTATGTGCTATCTGGGAAAGGTAAGATTGAAACAGTTTTATTGCTATAGACGATAAGAACGTTATAAATAACATTGAATAGATGTTTGGCTTTACCAGAGTCACATTCTTTTTTATCGCAGCCCTCTTCGTCCGATTGATCTGAGCACTCGTAATGGGAATTGCAACGCCCGTTCATGCTTATGCATTCCCCGTTTTTGCATTGGAATTGATTGTCTTCTTTACAGTTCGACACTTTAAATTCGTCGCATATGCTTGATTCATCCTCGCCGTTTGGACAGTCTTGCATGCCATCGCATCTGAAACAGTTGTAGAATGGACTGTGAGTGATCATTAGCCCTTATTATTTTAATATTATTCAATTAAGAATTTGATATGCAATGTTTACTTTTATATATGTATATAATAATAATAAAATATATATTTATATATTTATATATATAATAATAATAATAATAAAATATTCGTTTTAAATAGAACCATTCATTTTTTAAGGATCTTTGTTTCATTTTATGAAAATAAAAATGAAAAAATATTTTTAATTTTCATAAAATGAAACAGATCTTTAAAAAATGAATATTTTATTCCACATATAAGTACGAAACTAACGCATAATGTTTGTATTAATGATGTTATGGTTGATAAATAGCGACTATTAATTACCTACAGGAATTTAATCCACTAAATATGGTTAAATGTCATATGCTATAGGTTGTCCATAAAGATAATTCCTTCTAGTATACGAGCACTGTTACAAAGATTACACATGCAATTAACATGATTCAATTCTGTCGGTCTGAAATGTTCGTCAGCATCGGAAAACGTTTGATTATTATTCTTACCAGTCCAAGTTTTACATATAATGAAAATAAACGATCTGCGGCCGCCCCTGAATTTGGCCACCTTGGTGCAGAGGCACCTCCTGTACCTCCGCTAGGAACGGCCCTGTTTCTTCCTATATAATTATTGTCCCGGCGCGGAACCGAGTTTGGGACGATAATCGAGAGGAGTCTGTATAATGCATTAAATTTCCGACAGAATTGTGCCTTTTGCATATAAGGTCAATGTCCCTATTTCTAATCACGTCCTGATTTCTGCTCAGTACGTATATTTTTTATTTAATGTAAATAGTTAAATAATAAATTAGTTATACACTAAATTATTTAAATTCGTTCAGTATTTCTGTACAAAATGCTACAGCTCGCTGTTCACCAGATGGCAGCATTTTAATAGAAATACATTTAATAAGTGTGCCCATCGTAAAGAAACGTGATTTAAACGGTTCCGTTGCAGGTGGTGAGTTACAGGTGGACCATAGTTTGGTTTTGGCACTTCCAATTTTCGCTGAGCAAAAATAGGGACTATACTTCATATTAAATTAACTATTATTAAGTTAAAATGTTTTTAAAAATACTTTCATTTAAATTAAATTATAAAGGGAGGTTTAAATTTTATATCTATTAACATTTTTTGTCGATTGTTGCATAAATAAATAATAAAAATCAATGTCTGTGACAGCAGAACTCTTACATGATTAAAAATAAGGACATTGGCCTTATTTTTACTTTGTTACGAACAGATTAAACAAAACTCGTACCTTTGATGGAATTGTATGCATATGTTGTGTTCTCGGCATTTTATTTCGCCCGGATTGCACGCGGTTTGAGGACTACAAGTTCGGTTATCTTCGAGGAGCATCATGTCGGGTGGACACGCACAGATCTGCAAATTTTGTCCGAAATATAAGAAACTTGAAAGAACTATTAATCTAACAAGGGAACGCACGAAAGTGTCCCCCTGCGATTTTGATGAAACTTCGTGTGTCTGTTAAGCAGTCAAAAATAAGGGATACGTATTTTTTTTATCGGCTGAGACGCGACTTCAAGGGGTGAAACCACCCCTCGATGTTTCGATTCGAAAGCACTATTTCGAAAACCAGAGAAGATACATGAAAACTTTTAGTGGACGAGGTTTGTGGTTTTTTATATAGAATAATATGGTGTTAACAAATTTTCCAAAATATAATTTGTTTACAACAAAAAAATTTCGGATCGAAACTCCGAGAGGTGGTTTCACCCCTTAAAGTCGCGTTTCAGCCGATAAAAAAAATATGTATCCTTTATTTTTTACTGCTTCACAGACATACGAAGTTTCATCAAAATCGGAGGGAGACACTTTCGTGTCTTCCCTTGTAAGAAGGTTTTATTAATCGACAAGCATTAGACTTACGTGGGCACGATCATTAAATGGTAGACACACGTGGGAACAGTTTCCATTATTTCTGCGACATTCGTGTTCGTTTACATACGTTCCGTGTAAACCTACTAATTCCAATTTCTCCAAATCGTTCGGCGTGCCTGAAAGTAATGAATTATTTATTATTATAAAAATTGTTGTACTCCCACTACAGCGGGTGATCAAATTATTATTAGAGTCACAGTACGAAAGATATGCTTCTTTGTGTTTGTGTAGAAAGAAAATCACAATGTTAAGGTTTTTACACTGGATAATTTTCATTAACAATTGTCCATTAAGAATAGGGAAAGCCGGGGTAGAAAGTAACAGTTTTTGGTTTTCATCAAATAAAAAAGTGTATATTTTAGCTAGAAATTTAATGTTAGTTTATACTAATAGGTTGGAGATACAAGATTATTTCTATAGCGATGTAATGTTTGGAGATTAATTGTTTAAAATATTATGACTGTGAAAATTGACCGAGCCGAATCGTTACTTTTTGTCCCACCTTGGGGTAAAAACTAACAACGTTGAGGTAAAGTTATGCTACAAATAGATTAAGTCGAATTGTGTACAATGAAAGACAAAAAATAATTTAAACTAGCTAATGATTACAAAGAATCAATATAACATTATAGTTTTCTATTTAATTGGCTCAACACAACATTATTTCTTAATCAATACTCAACGTAACATAAATTGTCTTTTTATAATATAATTAGCACAACATAACATTCTCTTCTTAATAAGATCAATTAATTATCATAATTTATTGATTATTTGTTATCATAGCGCTGTCTCTATTATTTAAAATGTTATAAGCCCAGTTACAACCCACCCCTGTCATTTTTAACCTCGATCTCCCCTACATAAAAAAAAATTGCACTCAACGTGTGTATTTGTAAAAAAATATAGTTTAAATCGTGAAACCGTCGATTTATGCAGGTGGCTCTAGTAATTTGATCACCCATTCTACGTCCTGCTCGCATAGTTATCTTTAACTTACGTAACGCTATGTGTTTCTGATAATGCTCTGTGTTACGTTTACTAGTCCAATACAATTGGTTCGACTTGTACTGAGTCCAGAATACATAGTCACCAAGGACTGCAAGACTTACTGGTTCTGACAATCCAGTACGGATTATGTAAGTCTCGGAACCTTAAAACAGAATGATCGGTATTTTTGTTATTCGTTTCGAATCATGGTTTATTCGAGAATAAAATTAACTTACCGTTAATTGATGTAATACCGATACGACCAGTACCTTGGTCGCTCCAAAACAATTGTTTCAAATCTCTGTCGTAACACAATGATACTTTGGGCCCGAACAAAGGTGCTTTATTTCCTTCGATTGGGACTCTGGGTCCGATCCCATGCAGTTTCATTCGATCTATGCGATACTTTTCGTTCATACGAAAAACGACGAACATTAATCTGTGATTTAAATGTTATAATTAAAATGTATACAGGGTGTCCCACCTAACTCTGTCACCCTTAATTATTCTCTTATTTGTCAAGGTACAAAAAAATTGTTCGTGAGAAAGCTAGTGTATTTTAGGGGGAAAATTGGGCTATGAGAATGAAGGTCATCTCAAGGTCATATCTCCTGAGATTTCTCTAATGGTAACATTTTTTTTAAATGGAATTCCCTACTTTTTTGTTTGCCATATCAAAGAGGAGATCCAAACGTATCCAATAATGTACCACACTATGACCTTGAAATGATCTTGGGCTGAAAATTTTGCACGTAACTGGTTGAACTGGAAGCTCACAGAAAATGAATTGCAGAAACAAAATAAACGCCATAAACGCATTATTTATTATTTTAATGTATGTTCAAACTGTTGTCACCTGGTAGTGTGATACATTGTTGGATACGTTTTGATCTCCTCTTTGTAATGGCAAAAAAAAAAAATAAGGCATTCCATTAAAAAAAACGCTACCATTAGAGAAATCTCAGAAAATATTATCTTGAGATGACTTTCAATCTCATAGCCTAATTTCCCCCTAAAATACACTAACTTTCGCCCGAACTATTTTTTTGTACTGTGACAAATAAGAGAATGATTAAGGGTGGCCGAGTTAGGTGGGATGCCCTGTATAAGACGTTTTTGTAACTAAACTGAAACTTATTTTTACAAAACTTTTGTCGTGAAAATGGTCACCTTTCTTCTGGCACGAGAGCAATTGCATGAGGCTCCTCGTAGAAGTAAAAAATTGTTTTTTCCTTAGTACTTAGACTATGAACTTCGATAGTTTTCTGTTTTATATCCGATAGATATAGATTATTCCCAATGTAGTCAAAATCCATTCCTCCCAATATCGCGTTCTCGATGGACATCATGGATTTCACTTCTCCAGTATTGATGTTGAAATGAAAAATGTTGTCCGTCAATTGATCGCTCGCGATCAGGCCACCTGAGCAAAGTTATTGTTTAATGATATTATAAACACTTATTAGAATTGATAGTAATTGGCCTATTGTGAATAATAAATTGTCTTCTTATAATTAGCACAACATAACATTCTCTTCTGAATGAGATCAATTATCATAATTAATAATAATTATCATAATTTATTGATTACTTGTTATCATAACGCTGTCTCTATTATTTAAAAAGTTATAATCCCTGTAAACGTTAACGTATCGTGACAATGGGTATAATACAAAATTGAAATAAAACTTTAAGTGCTATGTTCTAGTCCTACTGTACCAGTTAAAGGATTCGAAGTAACTGCAGTAACGTGTTTTAATGTGACACTTGCTGTCATTTTAGGTTTTCCCAATAATTCATGATAATAGTCTACAAACGTGTTTCCTGCAGCGATCATTAGATGCATCTTCTTTTCAACGGCTGGAATTTTCAATTTTCATTAGAATTAACATCCATATATTTTTGCATAAATTCATAATGATCAGACGACGCAACAACCCTTACCGCGACATGTCTGCTGATCAGACGATAGTTTCTTATCCAACGTGCACGCACAAGAATATCCACTTTCTGAATTCAATAGACACAATTGTGAACACGGTTTCGAATTGCATGGATTTGGAATCTGTTATATAATTGTTACAAATCATGTTCTGATTATCAATCTTCACCATAAACAAACAGAAATAGTGCATAAAAAAATCCGTAGATTTTACCTTGGGTTTTAAAACAGAGTGATATATATGTATACCATATATAGTGCTGTTTGCATCTTGTAAAATTGTCCAATTTTTGCCAGTGAATTTATCACACGACTGTATGGTACTGGATATCCAGTCACTCCAGTACAATTTATTTTCAAACACTGCTAGTGAAAATGGTTTCTTTGCTATGCCCTTTAATATAGTCTGAAAATATATACAATGATAACACTGGTCAATAACTGATTCTTATAGATTCTTCTGTGCTGAATACGAATCCGTAAACAGTTTTTTGTCATCACCCACAGTTTACGAGAAATTTGATTTAAAAAAAATGCAAATTTTCAACTTTGAATAATTGCTGTGTTCAAACATTAATAGTTCTTCAGTTGATTGTGGCGTCAAATTATTCTGTAAACTCTCCCGAATAAAAGGATATGTTAATAGGAATCTTAAAATGTTGATCATTTAAAGTCCAAGGCGACATCGAGCGACAGTCGAACGCCTGCGCTTGCCGCCTTTGAGTACCACTGCCAGCGTCGCAGATTTTACAAAACTATTTCGCTCCTGTATTGAACACAAAACGTGTCTTATCATTTCTGTTAATGCTTTCCGGAAGAAAAATGTTTACTGTATCTACTGACGCAGTCAGATTATATCCAGCACCCTTACTTTTTGAAATAAATGAAAAAATATCTGTAAAAATTGGTGCTATTCGGGTGTCCTTTTCCCTTCGATCGTTGTTTAAACACGTTTAAATGTTAATAATGCGATAACAACGTATATCTGACGCGTAATAATTTGATGCCACAATCAACTGAATAACTATTAATGTTTGAACACAAGAATTGTTCAAAGTTGAAAATTTGCATTTTTTTTTACATCCAATTTCTCAGAAACTGACGGTGATGACAAAAAACTGTTTACGGATTCGTATTCAGCACAGAAGAATCTATAAGAATGAGTATAATTGTTCTTTGGGACAAAAATCATGTTGACCAGTGTAATCTGTGATCCTTAAAACTAGTCCAACAAGTATTACAGAGGAATGCGTACCCTTCGATCAGAACCGTCCAAACGAATTGATTCAATTACTTTTACTTTACTATCTATCCAGTACAATCGGTTGTTGGCATAGTCAATAGACAAACTGGTTGGCCATTCTAAATTTTCTGCGACTAACACACTGTCATTTTTTCCATCCATACTCGCCATCATTATGCGCGAATCTAAGCCCCATTCTGTCCAGTACATTATACTAAACCACATAATTAATTAGAATACGAGAACTAATTTTTAATTGCGAAAGATCGAAGTATTGTGCTCAATGTACATACCCACTCGATGGTAACAAAGCTAATCCACTGGGTTTATTGCTCCTTTCCTCAACAATAACAGTACAATAAGAACCATCATTGCTGCAGACTCCAATATGTCTGAAACCACTGTCAGTGAAGTATACATTATCTGTTACCCAATCCACTGCGATATCATCTGGACCATCTAGACCTTAAAAACATAAATTGTAATTTTTATTACCTACAAATTCAAATTCCTGGAATGAACATACCACTGTGTATTACATAACAATGATTTTATATTACACTAATTATAGATTATTTACCTGTGGTAACGATCACCTCATGCTGGGATCCATCTTCTCTACTTTTAATTATCGATTCTTGTCCATTTTCAATGTCAGACCAATACACATGATCCGCATCCACGGAAACAGCTACAGCATGTCGCAAATTTTGAGTTACTGGGAAATATACCCGAGAATTAAGGTACAAGCCATGGATTTCAGTCTTTAGAGAAAACACCATCAAAGCTTCACCACCTATATATAAACAATAAACATTCATTTTAAGCGTTAATAACTCGTTACAAATGTACACATTGTTGTAAAACGTTATTTATACATGCACAATGTAATCAACAGCACTTTATGGTATAGTAGATCAGGAGATGAATCAGACAAGTGAATCGTTATTACTAGACTGCAAATTTTTATGCAAAATAACATTTTCTAAAGTAATTTATAAATATTGGAGTAAATGTAGAACTGTACTTTTCCTCTTAAGTATCTTATTCGGTTCGGACTAAAATAGAAAAAATGTTGTCTTTTATTGTATTTTACAAACCCCCATGGGCTATAAATGCAAAAAATTCACAGTTTAGTTATTACTCATGAAATATGTATGTGTGTTAAAGAATTTCAGTACCTTCAGCTTTACAAGTCCTTTTATCATCACTTAAGATGTAACCATCTTGGCAGAAACACATGTAGGAACCAGGATTATTGATGCATCGTTGATCACATGTGCCATAGTTTTCACATTCGTTTACATCTAGAATGCAACAAGCGTATCAGATTATGAATATAATTAAAAGATATTTGATCTGTTAAATATTGCACGGCTTTAATATTAATTTAAAATTTTCGATAAATCGACAATTACTGATCGATGTCATTTCAATTTTGGTATAAAGAGCAAGTTGGTATATTTTAATTTTTACCTGAACATGTCCGATTATTGAGTAATCTGTAACCAGATTTACATGAACATTGAGCACCCTCGGGAGTTCTTTGGCAATGGTGTTCACATTGTGCCGTTTCTTTGCAGGACGAATCAGCTATAAATTATAACGCGAAATTATTCGTACCATATATTTTAATGAAATGATTTGATAATCAATATTTATTATTTGTCGTAAATGCATACCCTTTTTACACCCATCGATATTTTCGTCGGAACGATCGCCGCAATCATCCTTTTCGTTGCAAGTTGCATTCAGAGAAATACATCTTTTATTCTTGCACAAGAATCGATCGAATTCGTTGTTACATTCATGGATTGGTATAGTTTTATTTTCTACGACAAAGAAATTGAAATACCTATACTGATATCGACTTAACGTTTAAACTCAGATAGCACATGACGCCTTGAAGACATCTTAAAGGCGCCTTACACCTAAAGTAGCTGTAAAATGGGCGTTTTCAAGGCGTCATGTGATATCTGGGAAAGAATGAAAAAATGTTATGAAAATTACCGCAATTTCTTTCATCGCTGTTGTCAGGACAATCTGGGACACCATCGCAAACCCATTCATTCCTTACGCAATGGCCATCATTGCATCGAAAATTGTCGCATGTTAACTATTGCGAATAACAAAGTATGTTATATAAAAGTCTGATAAAATTATTTTACAGCTGAGAGAAAATAGACAAGCTTCCCAGATAGCACATAACGTCTAATGACGCCTTGAAGACGGCTTAAAGACGCCTTAGACTTAAAATGGCCTTAAAATGGGCGTCTTTAAAGCGTCATGTGCTATTTCGGTTCAATTAATTTCAGTACGCCATGTTTCTAAATATATGGTAGTGAAGTAATAATCATCCACTGTCATCTGTTGAAACCCAGATAGCACATGACGCCTAATGACGCCTTGAAGACGGCTTAAAGGCGCCTTAGACCTAAAATAGCCGTAAAATGGGCGTCTTAAAGACGGGCTATCTGCTTAATATATTAATAAAATGTTTAATCTTTATTTTTATTTGACTTCAAAGGAATTGAAAAGCAAATTAAAATTTTATGAAAGATCTTTTCACAGCCTTTCCTCGTTTCTTGTTGTAAGGCGTACTTAAAATGTCATATGAGGTATTTTACAACGTGTAATTATAAACGCAAAGAAATATTATCGAATGATGAAGAATAAAGACTTAAGCAAGTGATCTTACTTCTTTTACGCAACCCACATATTCGTCGCTATTGTCGTTACAATCCGATCTTGCATCGCAGAATTTTTCAATCGGTATACAGGATTTATCGGAACATTGAAATTCATCTGTGGCACATCGAATCAAGTTGTGCTAAAACAGGGAAAGAACGCATGAATACACTTTAAAGTTATAAATTGCTGCAAAATGTATTTACATTTATTTTATGATAAGCCTTCACTAATTCGTTAGGTCACATACGCAACAGAATATTTTCCTTCTAGTTATGGACATATCCCAGATAACACATGACGCCTTAAAGACGCCCATTTTACAGCTATTTTAAGTCTGAGACACCTTTAAACCGTCTTTAAGGCGTCGTGTGCTATTTGGGATGTAGTAATATAACCGTTTTAGACTCTTCTATTTTAGTGGTTACTTAATTGTGCAATAACGGAATTGGGGTAAAATGGTCGAAGTCATTACTATGATTTGTAACAACTGGGTGGACCACCCTGTACAAATATTTTCAAGATACTTTTGAGAGTAAATCAAATGAATTTCTTAAAATGTGTATTAAAAAGTTCATTTCAGTAGTAAAAAAAGTTGTTTAACAACATGTGTATACATAGGTTTTCTTTTCCGAATTTAAATTTTTCGATGCCAGTCTCATAGAATGATGCCAATGTACTCACTTTGAAGCCGTAGCAATCTCTTTCGTCGGATTCGTCACCGCAATCGTTTTCACCGTCACATTGGAACGAATGTGAAACGCATTTCTTGTTTTCGCATAAGAACCATTCCGGCTGCTCGCAAAGTGTAACTTTAAATTCGGAAGTAAAAACAAATTATCACGTTTTTGTAGTCGATTTTAACGGTTAAATGGAATATAATCGAATTACCTGTAGACTCGATGTAAGAAATTAGACCGTTCAGAAGAAGAAATATAAATAAATTATGGCTCATAATCTGTAACAAATTTAGTAAATTAGCATTGTGGAATTGATTGTTACATTTAAATTACACGTATGACGAATAGAAGAAAGGGTGGATGATTCTTGTGTCCTGTAATTGTTCAATGGAATTTATTTTTCTTTGTAGCTTGTAGTACGTAAATAAATGTGAAAATGACGTGAAAGTATTGTATTTAAGTCTTTACCTACTAATCATCAAAATTACATTGTCCTCGTTTCAATTTTTCATTTGCGTAATTGTCATTTTAAATTAATTTTGGTTGTATCAGTACTTTACAAGAATTAAATTATTAGTAACTAATTAGCCATTTTTACTTAAGAGAAAGACTCTGAGAGTAATGTCTTGAAATCAAGTTGTGTATAAAGTGAAATAAAAGGGGAAAAATAGTTAATACACTTACAGTGATATTTCACACTTTATATGTGAATAGAGATACAAATTAATATCTCTATTTTATAAATATTCGGACCTTCGATATTGTATGAAAATTATCAGATCCTTGGTGTTATCACTGCGGCTGTTATAAAGGCACTAAAGGTCGATACAGAGTATACAGCCGAATTATACGTTGAAGAGATGGGGTCTATGAATGTACATAAACAGGAAATGGTCAGGGAGCAAATATAATATAAATGCTTATCGAATAAATTCTGAAGATAATTTGAACTGAAAAAGGTTTTGTAACAGCTTAATTTATGAATTGACAATGAATACAGCATACAATTCGCTCGATAATAAATAATTAGAAGCATTTAATTTATTTATTTATAAACTATTATATCATCATAATAATCATCAGTTTGACATACTTTACTATTAGCTATCGTTACAGTTAGCATCAACTGAATAATAACTTGTAATACGTAATTATTATAATTCTTCATATCATTATTCATTGATTAAATTCCTAATGATTTCTTAATTTTGTTTGATATAATTTAAAATCAAAGTTTTTGCCTTAATTTTGCTTGATATAATTCAAAATTTTTGCGTCTAGCACGATGCACGTATCTACGAAGCAATGAATAAATCAGGCTTTTCAAGATTGTGGTTGCAGGTTTGTCCGTTGCGAAAAAAGGTTACTTATCACTGGTTTAGAAGTTTTTTTTTATGATCGTCTGAATATTTTCAATCGTACGAAAATGGTAGTTTAATAAAGTTTAATTTCCATTAATAACTAAGTGTTATGACCACGGAGATTTTCTTTGAAATAAGAAACTTTTAAGGCAATACAATGCAAGTGCTGTGATAATGCTGTAATTATTAATTTATTAGTATCGTGTTTTATTATAATCTAGTCTATTATATCGTTAGAATTGTTACCTGAATTGTAAACTGAATAATAACCTTGTAATACGTAATTAATTACGTATGATTGTAACGTTATTATGTTACGCGTTTATAAGAAATGTATACACGTCCAGGTATAAATAGGATGTTCGATCATGTTGTGAATCACTGCTCGTAATTTAAACTCAAATTCGTTTGACTTTTATGAAATTGATGGAAAATCAACGAGGATAGATAATATTACAGTATTTATTCTATAAGTTCACCTTTCTATATATATTATAATCTTTTTAATATCATTGTTTAGTGTAGGATTGAAACTAAATTTGAAACTGAAATCGTATCTAAATAGAAAAGTCAGATAATGAATACAAATTTTGTATTCTCTACAAATTGCTTAATGATTGGAAGTATAATACATAATGGAATAGTGAAATAGGAATTATTAACATCTACAATTTCAAAACATTTTCTGTAGAAACGTGGACAGTTCAGACATATCCAATTGTATAAAATATAATCATTCTAATATATTTAAATAGAATATTATTGGTAAGAGAATTTACTATGGTATGTTTACTTGTGTTCATGAACACAAAGATATGTTATGTTTAATGGGTTCTGTCACTGTGATAATCTGAAAAATTGTAATTGTTTGAACATTTTTTTAGTGAATGTATTAATAAATTGACAACACTTCGTTTATGTTGAACAGTTCGTTCACTGAAAAGAAATTTCCAAAAAATGACATTTTTCAGGTCTTGCGAAATAAAATAAATATTGTGCGTTTCTTCGAATCATTAAATAAATGAAAGTCTACTTCATTAATCGTTTAGTTACCTAAACACTAAATATTTATTTGATGATCAGTATTTGCATGAAGACGTATTTATTCATTCTCAAATAATTAAGAGTAATAAGAATTGCACCATAAAATAACGTGAAGCAAATATAGTTTCGAAAATCGACAACTCGTTATTATTATTATCACACGCAGCCAATATATCGGTTAAGGCTAACCACGGAATTATAAACGCGAATACCAAACGAAACCTGGATTAAGCGAAAATATCATTGTCCTCGAACGCAGAAACGGTACGGTGTTCGATACAGGTATTTCAAAATATAACGAAGAGTATTGATTTGAAGCAAAACATTCGACAGAGTTGAAGGCCAACCGGAGTTAAATAAAAACGTTGCAATCGAATAATCCTTTTCAAAATCATTACTCTGGCAATAATTGAAATTAATCGGAATTGAGGTATCTCATAACTAGAATCAAAACAAAATCATGAATTATTTCTTGCTTTGTCAAAAGAAGTTCGATTGCTCATAAATGTTAAGAAGTCATCCGCTTTTTCATACAGATATCAAATTTTCCACCGATCGTTACACATTCACTGACGATATAATTATTACAATTATATAATACAAGTATATTTTTTTACTACCTAACTGTAGATTAATCTATTCATCTGTTATAATTGGACGAAGTTACGTAAAAAGACTATCAACCCTCAAAATGAGAAAAAAATTAGACAAACACAGTAGGTACGGATCCCATAATTTTGTGATCTTTATTTTGCAAATAATTATCAACCCATTGAATAACTCTTACATTATACAATTATTCAAAGTATCAAATCATAAAAAATTAAAAGTAAACTGAAATTGAACTATATATATATATATATATATACAATTCAAAATAATATCAATTATACTACCTACTATTAAATGAGCCATTAATAAATACTATAAAACAACAACAAGAAATAAAATATACCCAATAGAAATAAAGCTACCTTATTTTTAAATTAAAATCTTCCAACTAAATTTACTTCATTTCAGATCATTGAGGGTTGGTAGCTTTCTGCTTCTACTATAAAACAACAACAAGAAATAAAATATGCCGAATAGAAATAAAGCTACCTTATTTTTAAATTAATATCTTCAAACTTTTAATTCATTTCAGATCATTGGGGATTGGTAGCTTTCTGCATAACTTGGTCCAATTGTTTAAGCACAAAACCATTATAAAAAAATTAGGTGAACCTTACGCAATCGTATAAAAGATAATAGGTACGTGTAAAAAAAGTGTATACTTTCGTTACATAAATTATCACATATAATAAATCACTTGTACGAAGAAGCATCAGTTTCTAATATATTTGCAAACATTCTGTCAGTAGTGGCAAATTTTAAAACACGTGTCCACGATACATTTTTTCTAATAATACTTTGTCTTTTATGTCAGTAGTATACTCGATTTTTACTTTAGACAGAAATTACTGGAGATGGACATGAATAGGGATAAAGGAAATGATGTATGCAGTAACAAACTTGAGACTTCGTGTAAATATTTATGTCGAAGTACATAAAAAGTTTCGACGTATGTATCATATTGACCAAGTCTGTTTCCAACCAATTCGTCCCACATTTAGCACACATCTAGAGTAATTTTTAACAAAATTGTAATACGGTTAAACAATAATTTATTTCATCAATACAATAATAATTTAATTTGTTCTTATTGCTATCGGATAGCGTTTATCCGCCATCGGATTTAACAATGAATTGTTCGTTTTAAGCACCCAGTAGACACATCCAGTATGTATAAGATTATAAGAAAGGTTTAACAGTCCTATTGTTGTAGACAATTAAGATGTTGTAAATAATATTGAACAAATTTTTGGATTTACTGGAGTTGCATCCTTTTTTATCGCAGTCCTCTTCGTCTGATCGATCTGAACAATCGTAACGACAATTGCAGCGCCTGGTCATGTTTATGCATTTCCCGTTTTTGCAACGAAATTGACCATCTTCTTTACAGCTTGATAAATTGAATTCGTTGCATATGCTTGATTCATCCTCGCCATTTGGACAATCTTTCACGCCATCGCATCTGAAAAAATTATAGAATGGTCTGTGAGTTTATCATAGACGAGAAATTCCCAATACAGATTCCTCTCGATTATCGTTCGGTTTGTCCTCCACGATTATTGTCCAGGCGTTATCTCCCCAACTGGAGGGTTGGAGGCCGTGGAATCTCTCAAGCGCATACTTTGTTGCCCTTCCGTTTTAGGGAAAAAAACAAATTCACGACGGTCTGAAGCATTTGTCCCTACATGATTATTGTCTCGGCAAGGACTCCAGTTTGGAACGATAATCGAGAGGAATCTGTATAACGCATTAAATTTCTGACAAAATTGTGCTTTTTGTGTGGAAAACTTTGTTAGGAACAGATTAGACAAAACTCGTACCTTTGATGGAATTTTATGCATATATCGTGTCCTTGGCATTTCATTTCATCGGGTTTGCACACGGTCTGACGGCTACAAGTACGGTTATCTTCGAGAAGCATCATATTGGGCGGACACGCACAGATCTGAAAATTCGTACGAAATATAAGAAAAAGGATTATTAATCTAGAAGGTTTTATTAATCGATGAGTATTCAACTTACGTGTGAACGATGATTAGATACTAGACACACGTGCGAACAGTTACCATTATTTTGACGACATTCGTTTTCGTTTATATACGTTCCATGCGAACCTACTAATTCCAATTTTTCCAAATCATTTGATATCGCTGAAAGAAAAAAAGTTAGAATTGTATGCACCGTTGAAAGTAATTGTGTTTCTAGTAGAGTGGACTCTAACTATATTGCCACTAAACATACTGCCATGCGAGGCACTTCCCCTTCTCACGTACTTTTTGACTCATTGCCATTTTACTCCCCTACAGCCCCGACCATGGCAATACATATACAGGGTGGCCCACGCAACTTATTCACCCTGAATAACTTGTAAAGTATGCATTGTATGAGAAAACTTTTTATAGAAAACTTGTATGGTTTGGAAGGATACATTATGTATTGCATATATTTTTTTTGTAAGTGGAGGCGTTTCGGAGATTTGATGGTCAACTTTGTTTTTTCAAATGGAATGCTATATTTTTTATGCCAAACTATCGAAGAGCGTTAAATTTTGAGTAAGAAAGTACTGACCTTTATTAGCCGTAAACCTAATAATTAACAAATAATTTCACTTTGTTTCTTAAAAATGTTCTGTGCGTAATATCAAGTTGGAGATCGAATACAAGCAAAGATTTCCGTAAGAATTTACGTGACAATGTTTATCAACATGACCGAGTCTGCGTATAGAATCGTAATCGCCTATTCTCTCCGTGATTCAGTATTGAAGTTATCATCAGTGTTGATCAGTCTTGAGAAGTTATGATCAATCAACTTGAAATTACGCACAGACCATTTTCAAGAAACAAAGTGAAATTATTCGTTAATTATTAGGTTTACAGCTAATAAAGGTCAGTACTTTCTTACTCAAAATTTTACGCTGTTCGATAGTTTGGCATAAAAAATATAACATTCCATTTGAAAAAACAAAGTTGACCTTCAAATCTCTGAAACACCTTCACTTACAACAAAAAATATATGCATTACATAATGTATCCCTCCAAACCATACAACTCTTCTATAAAAACTTTTTTCATACAATGCATACTTTAGAAGTTATTCAAGGTGAACAAGTTGCGTGGACCAACCTGTAGTTAGAGCTCACTGTACATCCTATTCGCCCCACTTGGTTCAACTCACGTAAGGTGATGCGTTTCTGGTACAGTTGCGTATCGTTTTTTCGAATCCAATGCAATTGATTCGATTTGTACTGAGTCCAAAATACATAGTCACCAAGGACTGCAAGGCTTACAGGTTGTGCCAGGTCAGTGCAGAAAATATAGGTCTCGAAACCTTGAAACCAAACGATTGTTGTTCTTTTTTTCATCTGTTTTAAATCGTGCTTTAGTCAAACAAATATTACGAACCGTTAATTGCCGTGCTACTAATAGTACCAGTGCCTTGGTCGCTCCAAAACAGTCGTTTTAGCTCTCGATCGTAAAATAGTGATACCTTTGGCCCAAGTATGGGAATTTCACTTCCTTCGATTGGAACTCGATGGCCAATACCATGCATTTTCATGAGATTTATCTGATACTTTCCAGTTGCATGAAAAACGACGAACATTAATCTGTAATTTTGGCATATTAATTAAAATATGTAAGAGTTGCATTTTAAGTGAACAAAATTTATTATGAAGATGGTTACCCTTCTTCTGGTACAAGAGCAATTTCACGAGGCTCTTCATGGAAATAAAATACTGTTTTTTCATTAGTGTTTAAACTGTGAACTTCGATAGTTTTACGCTTTATATCCGATAAATATAAATTATTTCCAATGTAGTCATAATCCATTCCTCCTAATCTTTCCGCTTCGATGAATACCACGGTTCTTAGTTCCCCTGTATTGGCGTTGAAGTGGAAAATGTTGTTCGTCGACTGATCGCTGGCAAACAGGCCGCCTATACAAATTTTGTATTTAATGAAACACTCGGTAGAACCGAAAAAACTATGACTATATTAAGTATAGATGATAAACGTAAACATATCGTAATCACGGATATTATTACAAAATTGAAATGAAAATGGACGTCCTGCATTAGCTTTAAAAATTCTATAAATCTTAAGCTGCGTCTACACTATGTAACATAACATGTTATATAGCAAAGTTATAAAACGTGTTAGAAAAACAGAAAGAAAAATGTTATAGAACTTGATGGTACATAATATTTTTCGTGTTGTATAGCAAGTTATATGTTATCCATCTAGAGTGACGCCATTATTAATATTGAAACGCGAAATGTCATACAAACTTGTTACAGACTTGTCTGAAAGGTATAGTCTTGTAACAAGTAATAAAAACATGTTGTATAACAAAGTTATAAAACAATTTGTTGTATAACACTGTTTTGTTATATAGTGTAAACGCAGCTTTATATAGAAAAATTTTACGTAGAATATGTTGTTTATCAATTCGTTGAATAATTCATTGTGTTACGTGCACCTTACCAGTGATAGGATTATAAGCAACTGCAGTGATGTGGTTGACTGTGACATTCTTTGTCATTTTGGGTTTCCCGAATAGTTCATGATAATAATCTACGAACGTGTTTCCTGCAGCGATCGTCAGATGCATCTTCTTCCTAACAGCTACAATTTTCGGTGTTCATTAGAATTAATTTACACATCAAATTTTGTATGAAATATGAAGTTATAATGATCAGATTGCGTAACAATACCATACCGAGGCAGGA